TCCCCTGTGAACAGAATCATAGAATCATAGAATCACAGACTGGTTTGGGCTGGAAAGGACCTTAAGATCACCAAGTTCCAACCCCACTGCCATGGGCAGGGACACCTCACACTAAACCATGCGACCCAAGGCTTCGTCCAACCTGGCCTTGAACACCACCAGGGACGGGGCATTTACCACTTCTTTGTGCAACTCATTCCAGTGCCTCACCACCCTTACAGTAAAGAACTTCCTCCTTATATCTAACCTGAACTTCCCTGTTTAAGTTTTAACCCATTACCCCTTGTCCTATCACTACAGTCCCTAATGAAGAGTCCCTCTCCAGCATCCTTGCAGGCCCCCTTCAGATACTGTAAGGCTGCTATGAGGTTCTCTGCTATGAGAGAATCTCCAAATCTCTTCTTTTGCTGGAGAGCTACCACACCTTCCCTCCCTTCCCTGTGTATCCCACCACCCACAATCATCTCAGTTGTCTAATGAGCCCTAGTTGCTGTGCAACAGCAATTCACCTAAGCCTTCTGCCCTCCTGTAGATCATACAACCAACTGCTTGGTTCATTTGTTTGCTTACAGCAACATACCATGATGGCAATTTCTTTCTTTCTTTGCCTTACCAGGTAACTTGCTGTGTGCAGCTTATGGACCCATCGTGCACACTGCTGGTGATCTGATTAAAATAAAACAGACTCAGGTGGAAAGAAAGGTTGCTGAAGAGGATCCCCTTATAAAAGAGACTGAAGGAGATTGTACAGTCAAACAAAACACAACAAGGTGTTGCTTTATATGATGATCCTATAAAAACATTCAGGCATGCAGGGTGAATATCAAGGAGTAAGAACTATTTGTTAGAAGATGACATTAGCACAAGATCAGATGGATACAAATCAAATATGAACTTATTTAGGTTGGAAACTAGTAGAAAGTTTCCAAATAATCTGTGAGAACACAAAACATGTGGATATGCCACAGAGCTGGAAAAGGCCTCTTGGGTCACTGGCTGCAGGAGGCTTCATTCCATCTTCAAACTGACTAGTTTTTCATTTGGTCCTTTGTTTTAAAGTAAGTCTCCTGCTTTTCTCCCACCCACAACTGCATTTCATACCCGGGGGAGTGTTTTTCCCTCTCCTCACCACTGTCCGGGCCGGGTGGGCACACAGGGACTCAGCCCAGCCTGCTGTCCTGCCCCATGCCACCTCACCTCCTCCTCCAGCATCTTCCCAGCCAAGCTGCTTGCTCTCACACACTTTGCTTGGGATTGTGCCTTGCCAAAGCACAGCTGCCTTGGCGGGTGAAGGAGGTGAGTGTGGATGGGGCACCAGGCGTTTGCTTAAGCTGGGCAGGTTCCAGTTTAAATAAATCAGTGTTCCCAGGATCTTGAAAGGGAGGCTGACCTGGCACTGCTGCTGGTGTGCTGCGAGACCCTGCCCTGCTTCTGCCAGGCTGAGGCTTGTGGATCCATCCTGCAGGGAAGGAGCACGTGGATTGCAGCTCCTCAGTGAGGGGGAAGGAGCCAGTCCCCAGTACCGTGGTAGGAATGTCTAATTAGGTACAACAGAGGGATAGATATACATACTCAGGGACCTTTCTGCACAAGCATAAATTAAGGAAAGCCAAATATTTATTTTAAATGGCTGTGCCATATGCTGATGAAATGCTAATCTGCACAGAAAAAAACACACTGTAAATAAACTCCCCAGCAGTACCTCACATCCACCGAGCTGCATCTTTCTGAACAACCTAACAAGGAGAAAATAAAATCAACTGCATCCATTATAGACTCCCTTCCCTAAGAAGCTCAGGCAAAGCTTGGGATGACATGGGCCAGTGCTTTCTGAACTATCATCTCCAGACCCCAGGAGTGCCTGTTAAGGGCCTGCAGAAGGTATTTAAGAAAACCAAAGTTGTGTTTAATTCACAGCATGGGGATTTTCAGCCTTGGTATAAAAAAATGCTAGAGGCTGCAAATGGAAAGCAACTGAAAGACAGTGTGCTTTAGGATCAAGAGGTAGGAGTCAGCGGGATAGCTCTGTCTCCCCTACTAATCCCAGGACCTTGGGTGAGTGGCTTTGCTTCGACCTCTCTCGTCATCTTTCTACTACCTCAACTCCCCATGAGCATTTGCAGCATTTCTTCTTGTGCTCGGAAATGGTACCCAGCACAACAAAGCCCATCACTATTAGCATCCCCTTATTCTTCTAGGCCCCCAAAAACACTATGGGTTCTTCAAACATCCTGAAGTTTGAAGACATTTTAAGATGGGAAGTAAGCTATTAGTAAGATTTGATTACCTAAAAGGCAGGTTTTGTGGTGGCCCGGGGGAAAGGCATGTTTCTAAGCAGCAAGGCTGGCTGATGAAACCTGTTGGCACTGCCTGAGGCTGGCTTCCTTTGCTCACTGAGCTACTGCCACCCTCTTGCATGCATTTGCCTCGCTGGCAAAGATGCAAAGACCAACATTTCTATCAACATGTATATTGCAGTACTGTCAGTAACTCCTTAAGGTTACTCCCTTTTTCCTCTTGGTTAGATTTATAAACCCTGTGCAGAGTTGCTATGGTTTCTGTTACTGCCAGTCCAATTGGCATTCAGTGCAGCTCCTCTCACCTTCACCATTTGGGTGACCTTTCCTTCACAAGGAAGATCTCACGCCATCAGCCCGTTCAATTAGATGTCACACCACAAGCTGCGCAAGAACACCAACCGCTAAGCAAAAAGGAGCTCTGTGGAACCAATTCATCTGCAAAGGCTGGCTGAGAGATGGATAAACAATGGTAATTATTTCAAAATAAATTGGAAGCAGAAAGCACAAGCCAGCTGTGTAACTGCTGGACAAAAAGGAAAGACACAAACAGAAGAAATTTCAGATCTCAACGTCTGGGGTGCTCTGGTATCTTCCTCTAAGCAAATATTTTTCCACCTTTCCCTCTCTCCAAAGTTAAGTTCAAAAAACTCTTACTTCCAAGACAGTTTCTTTCGCATCACAACTTCTGTAAAGGAATGCTCATGGATGGGAGACACAGTTGTAAACTGGCAGTAAGAATTTCTCTCTTTGCCAAATTAATATTCTCAATATTGTATTTAAATGACTTTGCACACAGCCACACTGCTTACTGTACAGCCAGACAGGCAAGTGGGATACATGCTGCTTTCCTCTTCAAGTAAGCATGCTGGGAATGGGCTCAACAGCTTCATGTACCAATCAGATCATGCCTAAGCCAGGCACTGAACACAAGCCCCATGGTTTCCCCGTAACTCCGAGAAAAATGTTTCTACTATAGTAAAGAAGTCACAAACACAAAAGACAGAAAATCGAGCTTGGACACGCTATGATCCTACTCTACCAAGCAGTAGGAATGGGAACATCCCCACACCTTGCCTCTTTATAACAAAGCCAGAACTTTTCTTGTGGCACTTCCTTGGCTGTTAAGTGTTCCTGCATCTGGCAACCAGGCTAGCCAAGATATCTCATCCCATATGCTTGTAATGCTAGCTGGGGCCTTCTAAAGAAGACGGAAAGTTGCCTGGATCTTTCCAAGACACCTATGTGCAGACATCAGTATGAGCATGGCACTTCAGCTGATCAAAAGACAGCTCTGTATTGCACAAAAGGAGTTGCTCTCTTAGAGGCACTGAATGACCATGTGCGTGGTAACTGGGTCAGAAGAACAGGTCACAACCAGCATACAAAAGCAGGCTGGCTTTGAAAGCAGACAGGGTCAAATGCCCCTGTGCTGCGAGAGGTGGGAACATCACTTGCTGCTGTAGGTCTCTTAGCTAAGGGCTGTGTGGAATTTGGGCTCTGAAATAAAGGTGATTGAGGCATCCATAGCCATGGCCAAGCTTTCACACAGTGCTGCCACAAAACACTTAACCTGAGCAGGGAAAGACCACCATGTGCCACATGCTGTGAGCTGTAGCATCTCTCTGCTGTCATCAACATGGGTGTCTTTATGCAATGTGCTTTATTCCATCAGAGAGCTACTGAGCCTATTCTTGCTCAGCGTGGCTGCAGTCTGCACCTACAGCGTTGCTCAGTGGGCATCTCACCCACTTTATACCAGCATGTTGCTCCAGCATTCCCAGGCTCCTGGCTTGCTCCATGGCAGCACAGCGCCACTGTGCATCAGATACTTACCTGTCACTACAGATCCACCCAAAATCTGTCCACAGTCTGATTCCAGGTGACTTACTCCTAAAACAGACAAAATCTTTTTCACTGTTTCCTCTGCTGCTTCCACCTCCTTCTGCCTGGATTGCACAACTATGTCTTTGCTCACTGTATGAAGGACGTCTTTACAGCACACAAGCCCTTTCATCTTTACCATGATCAGAACAAGCCAGTGCACCTTTGCTAGTTCACAGTCTCCTTTAAACTGGGGTGAGCTGAACTTTCTAGGCAAAGATTTGACCTCTCCTGAAATCCCCTGATCAGCAATTTCCCTTGCTTGCTCTTTCATGTTTGAAGCATTATGAAACACTGGAAAGGACACGTCTTCATAAGGAAGTTAGTGAGAAAATTCAAATAATCAACTCAGTCCCAGGAGACCTGGGGTCTCTTTCCAAGTTTGAAAGCTCCTTCTTAACAGAAGTTTTGCTCTTGAAAGTCTTCTGGTTAGCAGGCAGCTGATGATATGGCTTCTCTGGAGCCCGATTATACTTCCAGCCTAGGGGCAAGTAATAAAAAATCTTGCCTGGCTCTGTGAGGTCTGAATCAGGTGCTAACACTGAACATCTGCTGGGGCCTCTGCCCTCCTCTTCCCCACCCTGCTTCTCTGTGCTGGGCATTGAAGCATTCTCCATTTTATAGCTTGTGGCAATGAAAGGCCAATTGAAGAGGGAAAACATTACTGACAGCATTATCCAACAAATCCAGACTCTGCTTTAACTGCTCTCCATACAGGACTTCGGCAAGTTCACCACTGCCAGGACATGCTGAAAAGATCTGCATTGTATGGCAGCCTTTGAAACAGTTACCAGCAAACATTCACAGTCCTACCCAAGAGAGACAAACAGACTACACATACATTTATTACTTCATACAACCAGACTGCTTGCTGCACAAAAATTAACAGTGCCACCCAAGAGGATGTTTAGAGAGACACTTAAACACAGCTTTAAAACATGGGGTTTATGTAATTTAGGTACAAACTACAGAGGCACCACACGTGTGCGTATATATACACATACACACATGTGCATTTGCATCTCCATACACATACAGACACAGACAGAACAGATTGTCACAGCAGGTTGTGGTACGTTCATACACTGCTCTTTGAGGAATCCAACATCCCTGCATGAGGGTTTCCACCACTGGGAAACAAACCAGGGCCTTGAGTTGCTGCCCCTGTTGGTCTGACCTTCCTTCCCTTGCTGCACCCCAGTGCTGGCTCCCCTCTTGAGTTAATAACCCAGTCTCCAAGCCCATCTAGGTTAAGTGCACCACTGGGACTTGGTAAAGATACGAGTCAGATCCCTGCTCTGGAAAGCCTCGGCAGGGAAGGGATGGTCTCTGTATTCTGGGATGCCTGATCTAGCAGGGCCCAGGTGTAATGCTCAAGTACAGCCGTCGTACATCTAAACATCTACAGCCTGGAAACTTAAAATTTTCCTGCTCTGCAGCAGTAACGGATGAATTGACCTGTACAGGAAAAGCGTATTTGGATAGAAATCATGACCTTTGCAGAAAAAGACTGCAGCACCTGAATGACTGCTACTAGAGGGAATGCCCATTACAGTGAATTTTGCTTAACATCCAAGAGGGGAGTTTAATGCCTTAAGGTAGAAGGTTCATCAAAGAGCTGAGGAATGAAATAGTTGATAAATGCTGTGCTTTCATCAGCAGGAAGGGCACTGCTGCTTGCAGCACAAAAAGTGAGAAAACTGGTACTTGAACTTTCCTAAGATGTAACTGCTGGATCCCAGGCACTGCTCATGGGCTGCCAAACAGGGCAAATTCTTGGCATTCATGTCTATTCCCTTCTAGATCTTGCTTGTGTAGAGTAAGCACCTCAGGCAGCAGTGGCCTTTCTAGTGTTAGACCCTGAAGAGCTATTCTGGTACTGGCCACAAAAGATTCACTTAGCTTTACTATTTCTACTGCAGTAAAACAAACAATCAAACACAGAGTATCAGCTGCAGCCTCCAGCTTTCATATGGAAGATATGTCAGGCTGCAGCAATGTTTTCAAAGCTTTTCTCTATATAGGTCCAGTCATTCCCTGGGAGGAAGAGACTAGCCCTGGTAAGAATTTGTCCAAAAATTACAGAGTCAACACAGCTTTTGTTTGCTCATCTTCCAGTGCACAGAGAACTGTTCCTTTCAGTTTAACAGCCACAGGTACTGTGAATCCCAAGGGCTTTGCTGTGCATTTAGTGCAAACTGGTCAGGAAAGAAGCTCTTATTCTCCTTGTAGGTGACAAGGAAAAAGCTGGTGTCCCTTCTGCACTAACATGATGTGTAACAGGGCCTAACATTAGACAGCAGAGATACTCTGTCCTTGGAAAGATGTGAACAGTAGATGTGTCCCAACCAGTCTGGGGCCCCAGAAGATATTTTTCTGGAGTGCCACACTGAAACACGCTTCTAAAGCCCTGACTAAGTTTCATGTCAGATATAAAACTGACAGAACCGCCATGCTGTTTCTACATGCAAACTGGGGCAGCCCTTTATAAGACAGGATCAGAGATGTGGTCTTCACATAGAAAGAAGGAAAGAAAAAGGAGTATTGAGAGACAAAGCAGCAATGGTAAACAGCTTCGAAAGTCGCTTGTGTAATCAGATAGATGCTGCAGACCTGTCAGGCACATACCCTGATAGTCCTTGTTACTGAACAGTAAACACATTTGAGCAGCGTTTGCCTTAGTGGTTCACATGTCATAGCCCAAGAGACCAGTGTGCTCAATTACTGGCATTATTGGGAACTTCCAAGAACTAGCAACAAGGAGCAAACAAGGATATACTCCCATTCAAGAGGAGGTGCTGTCTCACGCCAGTTTGCCACATCTGGCTATGCCACTAGGAGTCTCAGCAGAGAGCCAAAGGGCAGAGTACCTACCAAACTGCACAGCAACTCAAATCCAAGATATTTCAGGTCTACCTTGCAAAATCACAAAAAAAAAAAAAAAAAGAGCACTTGCATATTCCTCTGTAAATCTGACCTCCTTCTCATTCCTATCACTGGAAACCTTCATATATCAGACTCGCAGCCCAAGTCTGTGAAAAGCTCATATAGTCAGCATGACAGCTATACTCTAGAAAGAGTATTTCTCATGCTATTTTATAATCCAACCCTTCTTACTCCTGCACTTGTCCAAGGGAAAGGAAGAAACAGGTAAGCACACAAATGAGATTGTACAGATTATTTTCCCCATAATCAATAACATTTACACATGTTTAAGAAATCGTCATTAAAAATATTAAGCATGAACTGATCTACGACATGAACAGGTACAAACCCCATTGCCTAGTAAAGCTAGGAAAGAGTTCATGTCTAATCAGAAGTGGTAGTCCACAACAAGAAGTTTTACAGACAGCCTTGATATTAGTGTCGTTACTGTATTAAACTCTTGGTACTTAAATAATAATAATAGTTATAATATCTAGACAGCACAAAGGATGATACATAAGCATAAAAGTGCAAGACATAACTTTAGTCAAAGTGCCTACTGGTCAAACTGGTAATAACTATTTTCAGAGATCAAGCATAAACCAGACTGAGAGCAATCATTTTCCTCTCATTTCCATCAGAAGTTGTCACAGGTAACATCAATCCATCCTGAAGTGACATCAGTTCCAAACGGGTATACATGAGAGGAGAGCCAAGCCCACATCTTGATGGAAAGCTGATCCTCATTTCCTCTTGTGTAATGCCAATTAATCCACAGATTTTGCTCTGAATATCCGAGCAGAGAGAGAACAGTTAACTTCAATGCCACATTCTATGGAGGCAGAGTCAGCAGCTTAACAGAAATGTAGCACTTAAGAGCAGGGGGTATAGCAAGCCCTTGTTAGCTCCTCTGGAGTCACATCCCCCAGCTGATTTATTGATTCCAGCCATAAAAGATGACTATGAGGAGGTTAAGTAACACTTCTCTTCATTGGAAAAATAAAAAGATTATCCTCACAAGTATAATTTTTCCCTTCCTGTTTGTCTTATTTTACTGTTTCAGAGATAAAACATTTTTTACAATATCAGCTTGTACTGTGTTCACTCCCTTTAAAGGCAAATGGATTTTAAAAGATCATGTCACCATAAAGCTGTGGGATGGGGGCAGAGGTAAACCTTTTATTAAACCTGTAAAAGATTTCTAACTCATTTTGCAAGGTAAAACAACAAAACCCATAAAACTCTAGCAATGGAGATCTGTCACTGAGATTAAGCAGATCCAAACTCCACCATCCATTTTTCATACTTCTCCAGGTCTGCAGCAGAAACAGATTTGGAGATTTTCTTCAGAGCCAACTCAAAGTCCCCGTTGGTAACCGGCATTTGAAGCTCCTCTTTAGAAAGTGCACGAATCTCTTCTGGAGTTAAGCCGTTAATACGTCGTCTCATTGCCATTAAAGAGGCATCCCTGGAAATACAGGACAATGTATGGGAGCTAACTGCTAGCAGCATGTGCTGTAAGCCTATGAATTTTGATTGTATTCTCTTGCTAGAAACCACTGGCAGAAACACTTAAGAGAGCATTTATTTACCCTACAAGATGCAGTTCACATCTTTCTTAGCTTCCATCTTCCCAGATCACTACATTAATTCAACGTAAAGAATGCATTGGCACCAAAACCCACTTAAGCATATGGTAAATGTGCAGAGATAATTAAAACTATAAAACTGAAAACCTTTTACAATGATTCATAGAGATAAAATTTTACAACTTCAGCGCAGGAAAGGGCAGGGTGGGAGCAGAACTGCTCTCCGAGACTTTCAGACTTCTTGTTTTTTTCAAACTTGCCTGGATTTTGCATCCCCATCCTCTTAATTTCAACCCTTTTCTCACTATGTATCTCAAAAGTGTAACCCAGTTGTTACCTGCTTGTGCATAGCACGTGGACCTGCAAAGGGCAGTGCAGGAGGCATGAGACACGAGCATCATGTGGTCCCGCAAGGCTGAGGTCATAAGCGCCTATGGCTCCTCATGCTCTGCCTACTCTGTGACTCCTCCCCAGCTTGGATGCTGCCAGCGTGGCCCACTGGCATGGAAAGTACTGATCATTTCTCACACCATGGCCCACATACAGCCTGAAATTACATCTTCTCTTTCCCCAGGTTTTTCCCAGCAAGGGATAACACAGGCCTCAGGGAGAACAGGTAATTTAACTACTGCACTGTGTGACACACACCAAATTTTCAAAACCATGGAGTCATTTTACAATTTCAACAAAGCAGCAGGGGACATATAAAAACACCCCAAGCCACGTTCTTAAAGGATCAGTTTCTGTTGGCAGGAATCCTAACTTTATAAGGGACAGAGACTTCCTTCCGATAAGTTTTTTCAAATCCCTGCCCTACACCAGGAAAGACTTATTTATCAAAAAATGAAACAATTTGTGGGAACAGGATAGAATTAAATTAGATAGAATTAGGATAGAAATTTCCTTAAGACTTAAGACTCCTGTTCCCCCTTAAGGGAACAGGATAGAATTAAATCCAGTACTAATGCTATAAATTATCTGTATCATCCTTGCACATAGAAGATTCAAACAGAAACCAAGACTCTGCTGCTCTGGGGGTTGTCCAAACATACAGCATATAGAAGCCCCACACAAGTATTCTGTGAAACGTTCCTTTGCATCACAAAATACTAGCTCTTAAACTCATGGGATTTAAAAGCAAACAAATAAAATGAAATAGATCCAAACCTGTTGTGCACTACATAACAAATGCAGTAAATGCAGCCAACAAGATTTGCTCAGAGAATTTTTTTGTGTTTGGATCCAAGAATACTTAACCACATCTTGCAGAAAGACTCCACAGTCTTTAGACCACTCCACACGACAGGAACACACGGTTCCAGTACTGGGCCTCAAACACAGTCACTGTTAGCTTCACCTGCAGTGGGTATTACCTTTTATGACACAATGCAAACAATGACTTTCCATGTAGTTTTATTTGCAAAATAAGGGGAATGAGATACCTGCAAACATTAGTGATGTCAGCACCGGAATAGCCTTCAATCTTCCCAGCAATTTCTTCAAGGCTGATATCAGGATCTAGCTCTACTTCCCGAAGATTAATCTTAAGTAGTTCTGCTCTGCCTTTTGCTACAATATAAAAACACTTCTTTGAAGACTTGCAGGAGTAACATTAAAAAATATACAAACACAACTAAGGTTTTTCGTAATAAGCACAAACAAAAGGATTTAGTATGAGAAAATGAAAGAGACAGAACAAATCACAGTAAAGTGTACAATCAAATACTATAAAGTTTATGGTTAAAAGCAGTATATTAAACCAGCATGCTCTAGAGAGATTTGCCAAAGTCCTATGTCACTAAAAATGTCTGTTACGTCTCAGATGACGAAGCATTTGGTCATATACTACCCAAACGCACAAAAGCACAATCCTACAAATGTCCGCTACTTCTCACATCCCTTTGGATTCACTTGCTGCTCAGGTGTTTGATGGCATATTATTCACACAGTTCCATTAGAACCACAATGAGAATTCTATTAACAGAGCTTCAGACAGCATAAACCCCCTAACAAGAGGCTGAACTATAAGCATATGTTTAAGCACTTTACCCAGTTGGGACCCAAGAAAGCTGCTGAAGCCTGATAGAAAACAGATACATTAATACAGTAAACATATATTAATATATTTACAATACAAGTGTCCTGGTATTCCACTACCAGACCTAGATGAACTGTGCATGCCTGGATAACTGGCTGGGTAAATGAGCACTTATGCAGCCAATTAACCATTTTCTTGTAGAGTGCATGTGCACATGTGCATTTGGGGACAGATGTTAAGCAACAACCTAGGCTTGTAAGATGGAATTCACATCTGACAGCTTAGGCCTCAGTGTTACTCTTCACAAGGGTGGTAAAGAAGAGAACAAACGCTCTCCTGGCATCTTTATTTCCACAGTGACCAATTTTTATGACCTAGAAAAGAAGACAGTCACAAAAGAGGAAGTAGCAGTAGGAAAGGCTAAAAGTCTTAAGGAAATTTCCACGTTTTATTTTTTATTTCTTTTAATTGAGGGGGTATATCAAAGAAATTAGAAAGCTTGTCTAAAGCTGCTGGTTTTGTGTGCTTTGCAGAGCTGTCAGTAATACAGTCATCAATCACACACAACTGGCACTAGCTATAAAATGGAGATTTGTTATTTACAGAGCACAGTGTACATATGGCATACCTGCAGAGAGCACCCTGTATCAAAGAGCATTCTTCTAATCTTTGCTATGGGGCTAAGCAAGTCTTTGCAGTATTTTGAAAATTAAACACAGCAGATTATATACTTTCATCAAATTCCACAATATACAAGTGTATATATATCATATCACTTTTTCAATTACAATGCCTGACCAGATCAGATCACACAGCACAGTTATAAGTGCATCATTTAGATTTGCCCAGAACAGCTCAACATTCTTATTTACAGAACAGATGTAACAGAACATCAGACTGGAAATAAAACTGTAGCACACCTCGTATGCTGTCCAGGGTGTAATACAGTGTGTCAAAACCAATCTGGTTTAATTAGAAACAAGAGCAAGAGCTGATAGGATTTTAAACTAATTGGTCATAAAGACAGGCATCCTGTTAGGAGCTGTTACTGCCTGTAAGCTGCACAGACAAGCTGTGGAACTATTAAGTGTCCTTATACCTGCTAAAGTCAATCACAACTGCTGTCTCCGTGAACATGCATCTTATTACCTAGAGTGCTCATGCAGGGAGATGAGGCATCCACTGTACCAAGAAACAAAGCTATGCAAACTTCAAGGGATAGGAATCTCAAAATTAATAGGACAGGTGAATGACAGCTAGGAAAGACAATACAAGCTGAGACATATTAAAGCAGGAAAGGCATCAGCCTGCTGCATTCTGAGTGTCTCGAAGCACAGTCATACAGGCAAGCAAGCGCGATCTACAGCAAACTAAGCCTGTAAATGAAAATTCATGGATCCACTTCTTTGCATTTGTCTGCAAGAGCGTGGAGTGCATTTGCAGTATTTGTGAACATGTCCAATGGCTGCCTTTGATGATCACTCAAGGACTGACTGTTAAACATTTAAAATAATTCCAGGCTCATTAAAACTAACTCTCTTTCAAAATGTAAGAGCCATCAATGGGCTTGCAATGAAATGCTGCAGCTCTTTGTTGGTAAGCCCCCAAGCAAGTAGTTGCTGTTCATTTTTTCCCCCCCTTTCTCTTACTCTCCTCAAAAATAAAGCAACCCAGCTGAATGATTAACCCCCAAATTTCACTGCTCATCACAAAACCATAAAAATTGCTCTCAACTCAATGGTCCTGCATTAACACTAAGCTTGTCTTGCAAAGGCCATTTTAAAGGAAAATGCTCATAGCAAACATACCTGTGGGCAAAGGTATATAAATCCTCTTCTCTAGTCTTCGTCGGAGAGCTTCATCAATATCCCAGGGAAAATTTGTAGCAGCTAACACCATAACCATCTTGGAAGGGTCATCATTTTCCAGAGCACCACCTACCCCTGCAAGCACAACAGTTTAAGTTTATTTCACAGGTCTTATTGATTGAAATGCTTGCTAAGAAACACTGCAGACAAACATTGCAAAAGCATGGTGACAGCTAAACAGCCCTATATAGTCCTAGTGCCCCTTTCCAAACTTCCCACACCTTAGGAGTGACAAGACCATCTGCCACAGAGGGGGACAGTTCATTCTTCTGCTGAGTCAGAGGATGGCTTTCTCTGACAGTGCTAATGACACAGTCCAACTGAAAATGCTCTCTCTGCCAAATCCGGCCATAGAACAAATAAGCAGCACTCCCCATCCTCCCAAATGAGGACTGCAAAGCAATTACCACTTGGAGGCAAAAAGCTTCTTACCCTGAGTTTATCACAGTGAACCTGCACATTTGAGGACATTATAAATAGGAGTTAAACAGCAGCTGCAAAACAGAGGTGGTTATCAAATCACTACACTATACAATATCCCTCAGATGGTCATCCTTGTTATGTGCTGCTGCACAAACCAGGTACTAAATCTGACTAAAAGGGCAGTATTAGCTGCCACCACAGAATACAGCAAAAATCAGATCTTACAATAGAGTCCCCAGGCTGGACACTCTAGCAAAGGGGAGAAATTTGTTTAAATTGCATTAAAATTAAAGACCTGTATTAAACTGCACAAACCTCCATGATTTGCTTCTGGAGTCTGTGTCTCTTAAAAGCTTTAAACTTACCATCAGAATGGCCATTTTAGAAAAAATAAAGCCAAACACCTTTCAGTTATCTGCCTTCAAATGTTCCAAAAATGCTCCAAATGCTCCTCTCAAGTCCTGCCTTCTTCTTCTCCTATCCATAAAGCCAGGTTTTCCAGACTGCCCACGTTCTTACATCCCCACCTATGAAGAAACAGCACCCCAGCCCCAAACTTGGATCTAAACATCTGTTACCGTCCATTTGCATAAGCAGCTCAGACTTGACTCTGCGACTCGCCTCATGCTCATCAGACGTGCCTCTGCGGCTGCAGATGGAATCGATCTCATCAATGAAGATTGTTGCTGGAGCGTAAAACCTCGCCTTTATTCAAATGAAAACATCACTATTAGGGCTGCAGCAGCAAGGACAGGCTCTCGTCAGACCACAGCCCAGTCCCACTGACTACTTACAGATGTTTCCTGCCTGTCACAAGAAAATAACTCAAGATCCTGATTTACAAAAACTGTCTGGCATATGCTGAAGTTTATACACTTTAAATTGTACTCCTTGCGTCAGGGGTCTTTCAGAGCTGGTTGGCTTCCTCATCAACCAGTCTTGCAAAGAGGAAAAGGAACACAATCACAGTACAGGCAGTTTTCATGTAGGTTTTTGTGTCAGTGAGGGGCAAGTATAGAAGACGGAAGGGATCTCAGCCTATCTCAACCAAGACAAGTTGTAACTGAGAATATTGTAGAGGTGCACTGAGGAATCCAAATTGGTGAATGACTCCAGTATAGGTCCACATGCAAATGTCTTTCACATCCCCTGCATGATAGACTGCATCCACAACTTCACTGAGAGGCTTGTGCCCATCATTCAGAACAGAAACAGAATTAAAACATGTATTGCTTCTAGAATAACAGTTCCAAATTTCTTCCAATTTCAAATCTCTTTGCTATGGGCTTGTTGTCCCATAACTGAATAAGAACTGAATTTTTGTTAAGGTCACAACTCTGTGCTTAACTCTAGAAAATGCTAAACATGGGTGGTGAACCATTTCCTTCTTAGTCCTCAACAACAAGTCAGAAAAGGATGGAAACACAGATTATGTTTTCCTAACTGACTGAAGGAGCGTCAGTTCAATGAACTCTGTGCTTTCAGCATGCTACTGGAGGGGCAGGAAACCACGAGATATCCTTTCTCACCTTAGCGATCCCCAGATCACATCACTGAAGACATACCATTTCAAACAAGAGGCGGACCAGCTTCTCAGACTCGCCCCTGTATTTAGATGTCAGGGTAGAAGAAGACACATTGAAGAATGTTGTTCCACACTCTGTAGCAACAGCTTTTGCTAGCATTGTTTTGCCAGTGCCAGGAGGACCAACCATCAGCACACCCTGCAAGGAGAAAACAAAGATAATGAACAACAAATAAAGAAACTCTGCATTTGATACTCTACACTACATTTCAGTATGATGCAAGATCTGTATTTAAATTGTTTAATAACATAACTGCCATCAGTCAAAAACACAAGACAAGAATCCCATTTCCAAGAACAACATGGAAGTGTTTTGCAACTTCTTTTTACCACTCTGCTGGAGCCTGAATCACAAACCTGGTAATTGTTGCTGCACCTATCACCTCAGAATTGGACAACTGAATCAGACAGACACAGCCTGGACTTGAACTTAGGCTTTTACCAACTCACAAGGAGCTGCACAGGCAGATGAAGACAATGAATTCTTCTTTGTGGAAAAAAGGCCCCTTTAAGGAAACCAAAATACTTTTGCAGAAAATTGTATTCCCCCAGTAGAGCACCCTTCTGTAGAAAAACGTTCTGCCAAAAAATCCTGACGATCTGTATGTATGAATCTGGTTGATTTTTACATTTAAGTATGCACGAGAGCATTTACTGAATACGACAGTTTGTCATACTGTTTAATCTCTCCATCTCAGTACTTCTACAGCCATACTACTGCATCGTAGCAATTTCTGGCTGAAACACCATCCTCACCACACTGATGGATAGCAGAAGAGCACTGCTATTTCTGTTTCATAGATAAGCAACTGCGGCTCATGTGGACTACCACTCAAGCCAACAAAAGCCTAATCTGAGCCTCAGTGATTATTCAGAAAGCTTTAAATTAGAAAACTGAACTACAGTTAAGTCCCAGGTTGGCATCCACACCATCAGGCTGTCTTTCCACCTGTGGTCTATCTGAAAGAAAGAGTAAGGAACACACATCTCTGCAGCTCAGCACACTTACCCATCATTATACAAGCAGGTTTTTAGCTAGACACACAGTGCTCTCAGGACCCATGTTAAGATTGTAGCACTGAGACTGGTTAATCACTCTTGACATTATTTCTAAATACAGTTATCTTTATGGATAGTCTTCCCAACCCTTTCAGCAGCAGTGCTGCAGAGGGATGCCACGCTGTTCCATGCCTGCAAAGCACTATAATAGGGCACTGTGATTTTAAGCATGGCACTACGAAAAGGTAGTGCCCAAGCAGCTTGGGTTTTTTTTTCCCCTCTCAACTGCAAGATCTTATTACATGCTAACAAGAGTTTTCTAAAGTAAAGTTGCACTGTGTTCCAAGGGTAATAAAATTAGCTAGAATTAGAATTACACATCATAATGTGCTTTGCAATTAATAACTTACATAAAATGCCACAGCAAGAAAATATCTGCTAAATGCAAGCCACATAGCAAATTAGATTTCATCTACTCCTCACAAAATTTTACTTCAAAAAGCACAAAGAATGACATGGAAGAGATCTATAAAACCAAGTCAACCGGGAAGACAATTATTCAAAAACGTACTATTCAAGAGCAATAGCCTCTCTGTACTCCATTTTCCATTAACTCTTAATACCTTTATTGCCATTTAACACTTAGCTAATGCAAGCTCAAAATACATTCATCGGTAAATTAAGTCAGAAATGTTCACGTACCATCCATACAGCTACCCGTCCAATGTCACTCCTCGGGCTGCCCAAGGTTTCCTAAGCTGCAGAGCAGCAAGCATAAAAATTAAATGGACTCTTTCACCCCATGAACATTCAGACGTATACTGGGCTTTGAGTTGCTGCACAGTCATACTGATGTTATAATAATACTGCAAGTACAACCCTGGAGTGACTAGGTGAAAATTACTCAGCCTGTGATATGCAGGTCAGATAACTTATTGTTCTCTCTGAATTTCAAATGGTTTTATTCAGTGTCTTTTAACAAGCTGTACCTCAATTCAAATCACATTTGACCCCTGTGTTTGACAAACTGTGTTTTCTGCAGGACCTGGTGATATAAGAGACTAACATCGTTTTCTGGATATTGCTTTCGTCCTCCATTATTATGGAAGGTCAAATTCTGGCTGTGACATGGTTTAGTGTGAGGTGTCCCTGCCCATGGCAGGAGGGTTGGAGCGAGATGATCTTAAGGTCCTTTCCAACCCTAGCTATTCTATGACACTATGCTGCTTTTTTGAAGCCCATTGCTTTGCATTTCCTGTGCAACTATTACAGTGAGCGTTACGTTGCACATGATACTGGTAGCATTACATATGTGCATAACACTGGTGCAAAGCAGATGCATTAGGTGGAAAAGCAGGGGAAAACCAAGCTCTCTGGGGATGAAGATGATACCAATATCAGTTAAAAGAACTTGAGTTCTCAGCAATACAAGATATGCATGGTTGCAAACAGAAATACATAGGATCAAGTTGCACTCTCTCTCTCTCTCTGCACACTGGGAGGCTGCCACTTACTCACTAGTTAAAATCCTTGACAAACACAAAGACTTCTTTATTCTTCCTCTAAGGCTGTTAATCCAAAGTATTTCAATAAGAAGCTGAAATGCACCACAGGGAGCAAGTATTTTGATGAAATCACTGCAGGGTTACTTCTTGTTGTTGTAACAATCACTAGCAAAGCAGTGGGAAGCACAGCGAGCAACTGGGCCTTCTTGGCACAAAACAGTTTGGAAAAAAAAGAAAGAGCAAGCCCATGGACCCTCAGAAATTCATGGCTGCAGCTACACAGCAACTGTGTTGAATCAGGGAAGACAGCTGCCTGCTTCACACAAGTCACCATCCTCTGAATGCAGGCACAAACCGTGAGGGCTGTCTTGGGAATTGTTCTCAGGAGAGTCTAGACATCCAAAACCAGATTTGGCTGCCTTTTCCCTGAATTACTGTCCTGAATGCCTAGGCTCAACAAATGCCTGCTGCTATACTGATTACTGCAAGAAACACTCTTCCCTTCAAAACTTCTCATCCTTGTAGCACAGTCAGAGGTCAACAGTAGGGAAAAATACATGCTGTTGTGTGTGAAAAATAAATTCAGGAGAGTTACAGCTTCACAAGTCACCAGGGAAAAGGCTAACAATGACGACTCTTCATGGACTTGTCAGAAATCAATCTGCATTGCAGACTGAAGAGAGGAAATAATCTTAAATTTTTTCCATGTCTACAACCACCTCATTTTCAGAGGCAACACCACTCAGTAGGAAAAGATAATCTCACACAGAGATAGAGACTGTAACTCTTTAAAAGACCAGGCTGTTGTTTCTTTATCCACTGCCACAATGCTCAGAGACAAGGCCAATGGCACTCTTTAGGTCCCCTGCAGTCTGCTGAGATGCCTGCCTAACAGACAGATGGCCACTACATCCTCTAGGGATGTTAATACATGAAAAAAGCATAGCAGCTCTTCACTCCCTTAAAAGTTCTTGAAGACTGGACAGACAGGGCCCCTGCAGTCTATAAGGGTATAGATATAACCCCTTCTATGCCAAGAGGAAAAGAGAGATTCAGCTGTTCAAAACACACTAAAATCTTACCCTACACTTGTAACCCATTCTATCTAGGCTCTGTCTAAGCCAAAAGCTCAGTTAACCTTTAGGTTAATCTCCAGGCCATTGGTACTGACCACCAAACCCCAAAGGCCATATAGCCTGGGGCTACATTTGAGCTGCTCCCCTGAAACTCCCCAAAACTTCCATGAACAGCACTCAAGCAGCCATCTCCCAGCTCCTGCTGTCAGCTCCCACTCTTTCCAACTTCCTCTCTTTATTGTCCATAGACACCGCAAGCCCGAAGAATGACAAGTCCTCCACTCATTAGTTCCTGCAGGGCTTTGTTTTGTAAATCAGCAGAATAATGGCGATCTGGGACTGGCTCAGGCCGGAGGAGGACAGCTTTGAGGGTCAGACCTAAGTATAAACCAGTAAGTACAAGGACCAAGCAGGAAAAGACGGCACAAGTCTGCAAGTAATACAGGATCCGACACATGCTGCTGAATCTGTATACAAAACAACAGAAACGACTCACGTACACAGCATTCCCTAAGCATGCCATTGCCTTGCAGACTCAGAATAACAGACAATTTGCAGCAGTCTCTTTTCCCCAGTAATCCTTCTCAGTAACAATAAAGTCCTTGTGCTGTGACTAGTTATTCCCTAAACATGTGTCAATCCATTCTGCAACAAAAGCAAGATAATCTCATTTTCTGTTCACAGAAATGCTCAACAACTTCCTCCTGCCTTGTCCTTTTTAGCTCTAACCAAGTCTCAGACTGGGCTCACCCCTGGTCCATCAGCCGGGCCAGCTCACTCCTATACCTTTCCCATTTCCCTTCTTGCAGCTCACTCTCCCAACTGCATTTCTCCTACTCCAGCAGTAACTATGCCCAGATGTAAGTGTAACTGCAAAGCTAAATCACCTCTCAGATTAGCCCCCTCTCTCCTTGTTTCCTTGCATGATCTAGCCTGCAGTTTGCTGTCTGAAACAGCTGGCACATGCAGAATAAAGCAGGACTGCTTTCCTCTGTGAAGTGTTGAAGAACAGCCACCATAATCCTAAACAGAGCTATCTGTTAAGCATTTCTCCTTCTGTCAATATACCCTATATGTTTTCTCACATGTACAGGCTGACATATAGAAAGTGTACTAATGTCAACAAGCTATGACTGAGTAAATACAAAAGAATCGCTATTTAATGCAAAGCCTGCATACACTTCCAGCTGTTTCCTTCAGTGCATTTTACAGAATTATAGAATGCTTGGGGTTATAAAGGACCATGAATCATTATGAGATGATTTCATGAAGAAATTCTTGATCTTTCCCATTTGCCTTTTCAGTCTTCTGCTACAGGCATACACACATATTACAGCAGCAGACATACACAGCTAAAGCTTGCTATTTACTTAAAACTCCAAATAAATTCCCACCTTCCAAGGTCTTCTAATCCCTTTGAAAAAATCAGGCATCCACATTGGAAGAACAACAGCTTCTCTTAATAATTTCTTGGCTTCTTCCAAATCTGCTATGTCATCCCTGTGCAAGATGAAGAAACCTGTGTAAGATTCCTGTACAACAGTATTTCTTCTATTTTTATATAGGAAAAACAGAACAGCCTTCATACCATCTCTTTTAGCATGCCAGTATATGCCTCATGAGAACACTCCTATAATCCGGTGACCTAAAATTGAATCTACTTTTGGAAGGTAGGAAAAAAATCATTTTCAGCTCAAGTTACCCAGAGCTGCTTAATTAAAAATTGTTTTGAACAATGTGAACACCAAAGTGGCATCGTTAAAGTTCTCTGGAGCGTGCTTTCATTTCAGCAGTACCTGTAATGGATGTACTGCACATTACATCAGTTCGCAACAAAAGCTTAACTGTCATCAAATTAATAAACTGCTAAAATGAAAAGACCTTGTTTTGCCTATCTGTAGAAGATTATGATAGCTCCCTGTTTGAAGAGTTAGAAGAAAGATAATTTCTCTACTCCACACTAACAAAACCACTTGAATTGAGAAAATCCCTCATACCAATGAATGCTTGGATTCCTTGACACGATGTCCCTTTCAAGAGCTTCGACCAAGTCTTTGTCGTAACCTGCTCCATCAAATTTTGGAATTTCCCCATCACCAACTTCCTGGGGTATTTTCTTGCCCTAGAAGTGAAAGTCATACAGGCTCATAAGGACATTATTCTTTCAACACATCCTTTCCTAGCAGTGCTGAGCAGTATTGTCTGGTTCACCTATGTGGAAGCCACATGAAGGCATCAAGCTTTAACACAGCTATCTCAGTACCACAATGGCCAGCAAAACCTGACTGTTCATACCCTACACTTCACAGGGTCCCCAGATACCTGTGCTTCCTTCAGAGATGCAGCTCACAGTGACAAAACCCCATCAAAGCTCATTACATACCACAATGAGTGGGTGGGTGGGTTGGTTTTAAAGCAGCAAACCAGATTCTCTTCACAAGCCCTTAAACAACTCTTTAGACACCAAATGACACACTTCCTGGCCAGCAAAAGGGATGAATGCAGGAACAGCCTCATAAATCAGCCTCCATCACAAATTAACACTACATTAACTCCTGGATGAAGACCAGAGCATCCAAAACATATTGTGAAGATGATACACCTGCCACACTACCTGCCAGAGCTGACACCCCATCACTGAAAAGGACTATACCTATTGTCTTTGATGGAGGAAATCCAAAAAAATTCTTTCCCCATGTTTAATTAAAGTGATCCTGCCCAGCAATTTCTCCTGTCCTGAACTGCAAACTACCTACTTCACACCTCATTCACAGGCCAGCTCCATTAACAGTTACAATGCTTTAAAAGGTCACATTTATTTAAAGGCTGCACCAAAAGCTCTAAAGAAGTTCCCAACTCACACAGACTTCTTTGAACTACAATAATTTCTGCAGCATGCTAATGCTCATTTAGTGACCCAGCCACACACTGCCTCTGTCCCCAAAAGCCCAGAGCTCCTGGTTAATGCTTCCAAAGTGCCGTTAAGATTTTGGGAGTGAAGAAACATTTTCTCTTCGAAGCATGAGGGCTCACGCTCTTCCTCTCCCACTTCAGAAGGAAACCGCTTCCCCTCCCAGCACAACAGAACCATTCAGCAGTGCCTGAAAAGTAGCTGCGCTGTTCTACCAAAGGAGTTTGAGTAGAGAGATACTTTAGGACTCTTAACTCAGCTTCTAAACACTATCATAGCAGCAAGCTAAAGAATCCCAGCTAGCTGGACAAAAGGCGAGGCAGCTGGAGACACACAACCTCGCAGTGGAAAAAGAAAAAGGTGGAGATTACACAGTCGCCATGTACCCACCAGGCCTGTGAGGGAGCACTTCATCTTCCCACTGTTTTTATTTCCTGTTTCCAAGTCTGTGTTGTGTAGTACTCCCAGGTCAGTTTTTTTTTGCAATGGAAATGAAGCCGAAAGTTGTGTTCAGATAAAAACCTGGTGTCAAAAATGCAATGGTCTAGCACAAAACGCTAGAAATGGAAATGGAGAAAAAAGCCCTGTAGCGTTTGGAAGATTTCAGAAGTCAGAAAATGGAATCTAAATATAACCACAAAAAGAGAAAGAAGGAGGGAAAATGGCAATTTGCTGTCTGCCTTTGTTACACACTTCAATCCCTCTGCAACAGACTGTTTGTTCTAGTCATGCACTGGAGGCCACAAAAAGCCCGGCTGTGGAATGGTGTAAATAAAACAAATAAATAGAAACAGAAGGGGGGAGGAAAAGCTGAGCCCCAGTGTCCCAGTACCCGGTGCTGGGATACTCGCTCTTCTTGGGACAGTTGTTTTTCCTGCTCCCTGTGGCATGGCTCAGCCATGGAGGGAGAAGGGCGGCACATGGGGAGGTGTGCTTTCAGGATCACCCTGGCTATCGGTTTAGTGACACTGAATGTTTCCTTTCATTATTTGTTTTCCAGTTCTGAAATTAAAGCAAGATTTAAACTATTCATGGTTTTCAAATGTAATAAGATTATTAACATTGCTCCCAAATTGTCCAACCTGCAATCCTCAGCCAGCAGGACTAAGAAAAGCAATATAAAAAGAAAGTCACCTCAATCCCATGGGCAGCAAGAGTAAGCGTAATTTTTCAGTCATATCTCATCTCTTCTTGTGGTGTTAAACAGCTTCAAGTAAAGCTGCTTGTGACAGCTTCTCTCTAAGGTGTGCCAACAGAGAGGTATACAGGGCTGCAGAAGATTGCTCCTATCCCCCTGGCAATCCCACTATGTAACCTCCTCAGACAGTGAAGTTTTGACCTACACAAGTTTAGGAATTTGCTGGGCTTTCCAACAGGAACAGCTATCAGACCTGCACTAACCCACTGGAACAAAAACTGTATTTCCAACATTAATGTGTTTCTACTCTTGCACTACGTTCATGCGTTAGTTCCTGCAGTGATCTCATTGATGTACCCACCACTCTGATGTAGTCACAGCATGTACATGCTCTGCCTTCATTTGCCAAACCAAGTCTCCTGTTGGAATACAAGCTGAACACATTTACCTGCTCACCTGGGCAGCCTTTCTTTTTCCTCCTTCTTCTAATATTATATGCCTTTCTTGAGCTCAGTTGTAGAAACCCATGCCAAATATTCCAGCTGCTGTCTCACCAGGGCCTCTTATAGTGGTAACTTCTTATAACGGTAACATCTCAGCAAACTGAGTCTGGGATTTCGTTTCCATTTCTTTCCATAGCTAAATCATGCTGGCACCTTACATAGATCAATCACGTAGGATAACTGTGGTGGCTGCAATCACTAGACCTGGGTCCTGAAAACATCATGCTTTCCTGCAGGCTCTTCCCACTACACACAAACACCAAACAACTATTGCCAGGTTCACTCTCTGCCACTTGCTGCCAAAGCTAAAGGCATCACCTGGCTGTGCTTTACTCCAGCAGCCAGCCCTTCCCATCACTGCCAGGAAAAGGTGATGTGCCTGATATGACTCCTGCTGATATATCCAAATCTCTCTTCTCCTCCACTGCTGAGCTCCCACACTCTAGCAGAATCTTTGTTCTAGTCTCCAAGTACACAGCCTGCTGCTCTGCACTGCTGAACATTACCCCATTTCCATGACTCCAGCACAGAGTCATCCAATTGTTCCTCTACAACAGCCTCATTCATCACTTCTGGTGATGGTGCTTCCCAGCTCAGTGTCATTGGCAAATTTAACTAGGGCATGCTCCTTTTTTATGCCGAGGTCATTAATTTAAATATAAAACAAGAGTCAATCTCTAGTCTTGAGGAAATCCAGAAATGCTTTGCCAGTTGAATGATACTTCTTCGTTCAGAAGCACTTGTTTACATTCCTCTTGCTGCCTAATTCTTCCCCCTTTTAGAATTCTTCTACACCACACACTCACTAGATTAACAATTAGATTAGCAATTGCTTCACATGCAGCATCCAGGTAGATTTATTTCTTTAAGATATTAATTAGCACTCTAAGGAAAAGTGCTGGCAAAGGCAACACCTTTGTTTAAGAAACCACTTTATTCCACTTTCCAGTTAGTCCCAAGTCTAACTTTTCACCTACTCTAAATTCATTTTAAACCTTTACACAGTGCTTAGATAACATTAACAACTTCAGTTGCCTGGAGCACTTTTCCTTTCCCCTTCTGAATACAAGCACAGTCAACACAACCCACCATTCACATGAAACAACAGACCAAATAAACGTTACTGGAAATCTCTGCTCCCAACCCTGCAATTTCACCTACAGTTGTTTCAGTATTCTCAGATGGAGATTATGCAGCCCTCCAAAACCAATGCATGGGGGGCTATGCTTCTACTTAAATGTGACTTCCTCATCTCACAGTTGATGACACACAACAGAATAACCAAGCAAAAACAAAAGACATTTTTTTAAGTCGTATCTTCATTGACTTTAACATTCACTTCACTGCCATGGCAGCACAGACCTTAGCTATTTCATATCCTTTGCAGTATTTACTGTTCGCACCAAATGCACTGACAACCTAAAATAATCTCAAGAGTACTCCTAAAAAAAGTGTTCTGGTGCTTAGATACGGTATTATGCAATTTGTAAAAGACATACAGGTAGCATTCATGCTGCCTCTTTAAGATGAACTACTGAACAGAGGCTAAAATTCTTTGCGATGATCCATCAGAAGGTACTCTGAGAACAAGCCTAATAATTTCCAGTGGAACTAAGAGGGAAGAAGCACTTGAAAGCAGTATTTTAGAAAAAGGAACATGTAAATACAAGGGTTTAGTGGATAAACACCATCCAATGGGTTGCAGTTCAAAATTACTTTATATAGATCTACAAAAGGTCATTTTAGCTGCAGAGTCAGGTTAAAACCCCTTATCCCAAGATGGTTACTGTCAGAATGAAAAGATTATATGGTCTGGGGAGGAGAAATGGTGAAAGAAGGCATTTGCCTCAAGGCAAAACACTTCTAAAACATACATTCTATACCTATATTTATCTTGAAAAATGCCACAAATAAATATGTATATTACACTGTGATGTTATAGCCAGGATAGCATACAACCTTTCACACGGCTACCAACATCTTATGAAGTGGATATGGCACCCAAGGTCATTACAGATGCTAAGTAATCCTAGCCAAGCACCCAAATCCCCCAAACTACAGAGCTGAACCATTTACTGTGAGAAAAGAGACACCTGGTTACTTGGTTTGAAGCTTCAGTTTTGCCCTGTTATTTTTAACTGAACATGAAGAGTTACTGAACCTCTTTGATTCAACATAACTAAGCTACAAAGGTAGCTTTAAGTTCAGAAGCTGAAGAACATACCCACTCGCAAACTAAGAAAGTATAAGCCTGAAAGGGAAGTTAAATGTGTTTTTGTGCCTGTGTGTAAAATACAGAAAGTTGCATTAACTTCTTTCACTTCCCACACCTGGCTACTTCCTCTTTTATTCAAAATTTTCTTCAAAGTAAAATCATGGATCCCTTAAAAATTGTCACATAAACACATGAAAATTGGTAACCCAGGGTCATTTTCATCTACATACCCCAAAGAAACTAAAATAACCACCAAGTAGGTAGATCAAGGGGAAACCAAGAGTACATGGCTTGGTATTTTTTGAAGAGTAGACATATTTTCCTTCTGCCACCTAGTGACCAATATATTCAGATAAGAGTAGGGTTTAAAATGTAACACATTAAACGGAACACCTTCATGACTCTTCCTCCACCTCACAGCAGTAGCACTGCTAATCACATTATTCCCAGAGACAAGGATTGTACAAGTCATGTTGTTGTGGGCTCCTTATAGTAAAGCCTTATCATGCCCATCACCGGAAAGCTTTGAGAGCAGAGTTCACCCTCATTAGAGTTAAGACTTTGAAGGCTGCCTTACACAAGCACATGTGGTGAACCTGTCACACACCACGACTACAATTCCTGTATAGTTGGCAGAACTGTAAATAATTGCACAGATCTTCACAAGCTTTTTACAGCTTGCAGGATGCACACTTCTTGTTTTAAATCTTATTGGTCCAGGGCAGAGAGTTTTCTAAAATGCTTCATCCATGCAGCCACTCAGTGGCACTGCTAAAAATGTGCTGTCCCTACCTGCTGATGGTAATAAGGGCTGGGATTGCTTAATACATTCCCTGATGGAAAGAGTGTATCTTAGAGCCCTTTTTGCATTGTGAAGGATCAACCTGTAACAGAAAAGTCATGAAGGGACTAACGAAATTCATTTGGAAGAAAACTGACCTAAATATTTTCTTATTCATCTATCAAGATCTGTACCAACAGGAAGAGGCTTCTCGTATCTCTGTCTGTCAGGAAAGTAAAGCCACTTCAGTACCCTGACTTGCATCATTTATAACACAGATTCCTCAGGTTCCTGGCAATGACTCCACAGTTAAATTTAAAAATGCAAGTGTTTCAGAAACAGCAATTTGCACACAGACATTTTTTGAGCCACAGAACAGTCTTGCCTTTGACGTCACTACTTGATAGTGAATCACTATCTCCCCTTCTCTTTCACTTCAGCACTGCTTCTTTTTCATGGGTCTTCAGAGGAAAGAATCTCCAATTTATTCTAACTTATTTGTTTCTGTTTTTAAAACAATGCCTTTCCAAGAAGCATCTTCCTAAACACTATAATATAAAATCATTGTATAAAGAAAATTAAAGCTGCTAAGAGCTTGCTTTTACTACGTCTACTTCACATAATCTTCAACTATGTAACTTCAAATAATTTGGCACAAATTTAACAAGTGTCAGATGAATTACTATGGTATGGCAGAGGCAATGTTACTGTGTAACTTTATTCATAATGTTTAAAGTCTAGAAAGGGCACTGATCTCATTTTTGCACTTTTTACATAGAAATTTTTCAAGAAGACCTGAATTGTATTTAAAAAAAGAAAACCAACCCAAAAATAATAACAATAACAACAACAAAAAACTTATCAAAAAACCAAAAAGCAAACAAACAAACAAAAAAACCCCACCAAAACACAGAGAAACACAGGATGGGAGACAACAGGAGAAGGGACTCAAGGGCATAATGCCTGATGGATACTGACAGATTAGAGTCAAGCCTATGGGCTGAGATGATAAGAAACTCCCAGCAACAGGCCGCCATGCTTCCTCCCTATCCCTATCAAAAACTCTCAAATCAGGACTGAGCAAGCATGACAGAACTTCCCTTAATCTGGTGTCATTTGTTAGTAAATATCCCCATGATACATGCTTTGTCCATAAGGCAAGAGGAAAGCACTATGTTTTCTTGTACAGGATTATTGTGGCTTTTTATTATTAACTGTATTAAATAACTAAAACTAAAAATGCTTCCCTTTGCCACCTGCTGCATCACAACTCTTCCCCCACATATTCCTTCCCACTTCTTACCTTGTCATCTCTTCCTCTAGCTCTAGATTCCCTTTCGCGGCTGCCTGCAGGCTTCTCGCCCTTGGATACCATGTGTGCTCTGCCCACAGGCCCACGGGGCTGCAATCCTGGTGATTCTTTCCTCAAAGCTTTGCTGGGACGTCTGATCTGAGGTGGAGCCCTAACAATAAGCAACCACAACGAAAACATGCTAAAAACAGTGAAAAAAGAGCAACATTTAGAAGGAAGGATTCTAATACGTCGTTAATTCCCTTGGTGCATTATTACTAAAGCTGACAAGCCCCTAAGTCTTGCCTCTCTACATGTGCGAATACAGCAATGTAGTTATGGTTCTGTCTGACACCCAAAGTAAGAAAAAAATACAAAAGGAAAACAAAAGTTCCAACAGTGCAAAAAAAGACAATTCACAATGATCAGTACTCCTACCCAATCTTACAACAGACCAACACACACGTAACAAGAAGCAATTTAGTAATTCTTCAAATCATAGTTTCCTCTGACTCCAAAACAGAAGATTACGTTGGGCTTTATTCATATCCACCAGCTCAACACAACCACGACATCTGTGGTTTAAGAAAAAATAATAAAAGCTGTCTAATAGCTTTGACAGACCCCAAAACAAAGGAGGGAGAATTTTCAAACAATCCTCCTACCTCTGACTTCGTTTCCTTGAGTGAAAATGTCAAAATGTACAAATTGCCTAGAAAGCAAAAGCAAACAAAGCCCAACTGCAACCACCTGTGCTTGCGTGCATCATCCACAATGTCAAAGAGAACTTGGCAGTGGCATGAGAAAGAATTTGGCTTTTAGAGAGGTATCACAATAATTTTGCTCTAGGGACTGGACTTGATATACAGAACTAAAATAAACAGCCAGGAACATCACCCAACTTGAATTAGCGTCCCCTATTCAATCTTTTACTGATTCTTGTTTTTGTGTAACTCAGAATTTGCTAACTCCAAAAAAAGATCCCGGAACATGGCTTACAAAGAATAAATACTTAAATGCACTGTGGATACAACTGTTATGTTTTGCTTTGTATACATTTTCATCATACATAACAGCATAGAAGAGTGGCTGGTTTTCCTTACTTTTGTGTACAAGATTTCAATTTCAGCTTAAAAAAAAACAGATGAACAATTGGGCCTTTCCCTCCAAGAAAGATACAACAATAAATACATCTTGCACTTCATGAAATAAAAATTCTAATAACCATTTCTAACACTCACAAAAGTAACTAGTATTAATATTATTTTACACTTACATTCTTAAGGTATCTTCTAAAGCAAAGACATTTGATAATATTAAAGCACATAAATTTACAAATAAACTTGGCCAGAATAGTAGCAGAACATTTCTTTCTGTTTACTGAGAGCTCTCATTTTACTTAGTTCCTTTGCTTATGTGAGTATACACACATTAAAATTCCTACTATTATAATGTTAGAAAAATGTTGGCATGATAAATGTTAATCTTGCTTTTAAACTGGATTTGTTGTTTCCAGCAACCTGTGCCAAGCTCTATTAGGGTGAAAATAGGGATTTCAGAAAATACACAAGCATCCATTTTGAGAAAACTATGAGCTAACTAAAGTTACCTTAAAGGTCGTTACAGAAGAGAAACACCATGTATCACACAATCAGTATAGCAATAAAACTAACCAGTGGATTAAACACGGGTCATATTATCTGTAGTTAGTGAGTGATTTCTAGCCACCATGTCCTTGAAGATACTTCAGGTTCTAAAACCTTACTGGCTCCTCTGCCATCAGTGAATTCAACTGCTTAAATAAACTGAAATGGAGAAGTTTTCTGCCTGCACATGAGAAAGGTTAAGTGTCACCAAAAGCCCATTTACCTCTTCAGCATGCTAGCTGCAGGCACTTAGCTAGTCAGTGCTACCAGAATAAAGGAGCGACTTGCTTTAGAACTTCAGCAATAAATCCAAATGTTCTTTAATTACTTTTTTCCTTCCCAATTTACTATATTTATTCTTTATTACAAATGACAAAGGGGTAAATGAAATCTGATTTTCATGTTACAAGTGTATTCAAGAAAGAATATGAAATTATGGCAACCCAGCTTTATTCCACCCACTCTGCTTGAGCCTCCTTACCTGTGTTCAGCTGGAACAGGAGGGGGCCAAACATCGGGATCTCTAAAAGGCTCATCTTGACAGGATACAGGGATATCTGCATGTCTGTCCATTTTAAAACTCTCTAAAGTGTTCACAATGCTTTTAACTTGTTCATATTCTTCAACTAATTCTTGTCGAACCTTGAGAAATACATACATTATTTAAAAATTGTTACAATTCAATTTTTTTTTTTCTTAAACCATAGAAAATACCTCAAAACATACACTACTCTCAAATGTAGGGACACCCAAAACCTTCTGTTCACAACCCCCAGACCTATCTATCAGGCTGACAACAGCTCTTTAGCATAAAAAGTTGCATCTCTGTTGAGTTCCAGTTCCCGCTTGTCAATGTCATGACCAGATATGACTGCTAATGCAGGGATCACTTTTTCGTAACTTGTGCTAATGCTCAGATTAACATGTGCATGTTGACATGTATGCACACGTACACATACTTTTGTTTTTTACAGCTAGTAAAGATGCTGTTGGCAGATTTTTAACATATTTGCTACTATTATGGCATAAAATAACTTCTCTTATTACAGTCTCTAAGGTCCTAGTTACAAACCTGGCTGAATCATTAAAATATAGTATTACAAAATTAACTTTGTGAGGGGCACCACACAGTCAAAGCACAAGCCAACCTTTTGGTGGATTGGAAAGATCAGAACAGAAAATGGTAATTTTAACACCCTACAGCATAAGTTAGCAAAGAAAGTAAAATAAAAATGAGAGGAAAACATGTCTCAGAAAGAAATCAGGTTGCAGAATCATGCAGCTGAATTTTATACTTGAAGTTTCTATTGCTACTAGTCAGGGAATTAGAACTACTGCAATAATTTCAAGATTATTTACTTGATATTTGTTCTTTTCAATTTTCTTCTATGAAGCCTAGGGAAAACAAAAACTGTAGAAATTTGTGAAGTTTTAAGTGATATGGCTTGCTACAAGCTCAAATTGCTTATGCTAAGGTCACCAGTTCTTAGTACACACCAGCAGCCTGTTCTGGGTTCAGCTGCACTGCGCATTCTTGCTCAGAAGCATATGCTTTTGGTTCATTAGCTTAAGATGTATTAGGATTCACCTGAGTGCACTTGTACTGCATCTTACCAGTCTTTCACCTGTCACCCAATGATGCTTTCCATCCTGTGGGATCAACCTCCATGCTCACTTTGGGTTTTACCCGCTTGAGGGTCATAACACCCAGATGCCACTCTTCACTGAAGTGCTGGTGCACAGCTAAAACTAATTCATGCATCACTGTGCATGCCTGGAAATCAGTATTGGCACTCTGCAGCTTACCTTAGGCCAGTGTGCATCTTGTCTGTTACGGGCTCGCGGCTGGAGCTACAGAGACAACCTGAACCTTTCCATCCAGTGGGCTCTGTTACGGGCTCGCAGCTGGAGCTACAGAGACAACCTGAACCTTTCCATCCAGTGGGCTCTACAAGGCTCTTGTGAAGAAACACTAGGGTGAGGATATCTGCAGGCTGCTACCAGGCACAATACCAGGCACAATACAACTAGGATGCACTGAAAGACTGAATCAAAAGCCAGGTTCTGAAGTAACCTTACAAGAAAGGCACAGAAAGAAACCAGACACCCAGCTGTGCTCATGTCAGCCATACACCTGAAAAAGAGCTAAGAAAACATGGCCTGGGAATGCTGTAACCAGACTTCACTTTATGGCAAATAGAGGAAGGCAACTAAGGACAGTATCAGCAGATGTCAAAAGTGTTGCCTGATGACCATGCTCTCTTTGCTCTGCAGATCCTGAGTAAATGGAGAGGATCAGGGGAATGGAGGTCTGCAAATCCCATCTGTCTGCTCAGGTTGTAACAGCAGCATATCACAGAACTAGTACGAAACAGCATCACATCTTCTGAGTGCTCCTAACACTGCTCACTGGTGAAAAGATGAGGCCACTAGCTCAAGATCTTTCCAACTCCCTGGGTGTTTCGAAGTGAACTGTGTTGGACATATGCAGGGTGCTGTGCCTTGTCAGCCTGCTTTCAGAAGCATGCCTCTTTCCAGCCTGATTTTCACCGGCCTATACCATTTCTCTCTTTCACTCTCATTTCCCCTCTCTGAATGGTATCTTTCCTCACCCACTCCAATCCACATATTCAAACAGCAGCCGCAGTGGCCCTCCACATTTGGTGGGGCAATTTCAAGACAGAAAACACTATCTGACATAACTGATGGGTAAGGTGTATAAAAGAACAAATGATTAAATTGACAGCACTCAGTAACAAACACACGTCACCGCTCTCTTGAAGCTACAGTTGTTCTAAAATACTACCAGGTGCACCCCACAGCAATGCACTGTTCTACTCCGAAACATTTTCCAGGAATTTTCCCATTTCAAGGACAAATTAGGAGGCTTCAGTAGCACAAAGAAATCCTTCTTTGGTTTAAAACCCTGTTTAAGAAGAAGAATATACGTGACTGTCATCAGCAAAATACCAGCAAGGACAAAGGCAAAGTAAAGGGAAAATCCCCATGGCCCCGCACAGTTCTTGAAGCGCTGCATTTACTTCACCAGAAGCTCCACATATATCTGTACAAAAGGAGTCTTAGGAAAGGAAAGAATTTGACCATTCACAGTGCAAAGCAGCCTTTTTGCTCATTCCAGATGAGCTCTATCTTTCCAAAGACACAGGACAGCCAGCTTAGGCAGGATTGCTCCTGCTCTGCTTGGCTCTTTTTGCTTTCTCATCACACACTCAGCAGACACATCTCCCAGTGCAGAAACTTCTAGCTGAGTTACAAGCTGAGCTACAAGTGTGATTGATTACTGACTTGGTTCCTTCGAACTGTCTAACACACATCCCTCCTGTCCAAAAATAAATCCAGCCAAACAGCTGCTGTGAGGTACAAAGGAATGATACAGCATAAATCCTCCAGGGCACTGCTCCGCAAGAGACAGCCACTTCCAGTGCTCCAGGAATACAGACAGCATTCCTCCTATCAGCCTTCCAACACATGTGGGAAAGTTGGTGAAAACAACTTGCTAGCACTGAGCACTGGAGTGCTGTCACTCAGCTCTCTGGACCAGCAAAGAGGATGTTGTCTTAAAACTGAGGGAAAGTGAGCCTTTGATGCCTCAGAAGCTGAAAACTAACAACTGCTGGCCATTTCTTGGGCAGACCCAAGCAGACCAAATTCTGACATCCACACCCTTACTGCTTAGCCAGTACCTGGCAAATCAACCAACAGAAAACCCTTAGTGTACTCAAACAGCAGGATCACAAAGGAAAACCAACTGGTAAATTCCTAGAGGCCATAAAGAAACGAAGTCAGATGAATCAGGTGCAGAAAAATGTTCCCTGCAGTTGAGAAACAACCTAGATGTGAGCCAAGAAGGGCTGTGACTTACAGAGGTGACTGAGCACCATCTTTGAGTGATCAGTGCTACTCTGAGGCAACCTCAGAAGGATGCAAACAGGAAAATCACTGGTCTGGACTCACCAAATCTCTTTGCCCCCCATCACACCCTTCCCTTCTCAGGAGGCTCCAGCTCAGGTTGTAGAGAGCCTGAAGAAAGCTTTAGGTTATCCATGTTGAAGCTGTTTCAGGAGATAGCTGAGCTAACGCTTACCACTGCCAACTAGGAAGGTCCCACTCCTCATCACTTTTTCTACTTAACCACATTCTGCCACTGCTCTTCTGGATGCAATTCTGGCATCACAGTGCAGTAATCCAGCTTAGTAAAACGGCAGAAAATTAGCCTAGGAGGGTAAAAAGAAAATACAGGACTGAATTAGAAAGCTGTACTTCCTCACTACCCTGTGATCAGCTGAATCCCATGAAAAAGAATGTCAAGGTGCAGAGGAGGGAGAGAAGGCTGGTACAGCTTGAGGGAAGGCTAGGTAGGGAAGAGTTTGGCCTCTCTGGGTGTCAACTGGATTCAGCTACTGTGTGGAAACTGCCTGCTCCAAAGCCACGCTCTGATACACAAGCCACTCCTACCAGTCACAGCACCTGCTCCTCAGAAGCAGCACTGTGGGCATTGGGTGGTATTGGAAAGCCTGATAAAAAGCCTTTCAGCCCAGGGGGTGGCCCCACAACTTTGTTTTGACATTCCAGTACTAAGGATTTACAATAATCAAGCAGAAAATGCATTAACATATGGATATAAAACACAGTGACCAGGAGCTGAGTACGCTCTTTCTTAGTGGCAGTTCCAAAACCCATTTCAGGGAGTTCCTCTGTTCCTCTGCCACAACCTGGCAACTGTAGTAGCTTTGACATCACAAGCTTTTATTTGCTATGCCAGAGCTTGTACTTCTACACAACTTCCCACAGCAATAAGCATGGGTATTTGTACCTTGGTAAATACAATGTGTGCTGAGGGTTTTTTTAATTATATCATGCTGGAACAAAAACAATCAAGTTTCTATAAAAGTGTTTACCAAACCCAAAATTACTGCCTGTAATTAGTGCTAGTTATTCAACAAGCTCCTTTTTTTTAAAAAGTGAAAATAACAATTCCCTAAACCATTCCCAAAAAGGATGCCCTGTAACCCAGTCTGATCCCTTGGAATCGAAGTACAGCTCCTGGAATCACAGCTGTTCATGAGTTACCTGCAGTACATTCTTCAATTACTCATGAAGTAACCTATGGAATGTTAATAAAACAGGCATGATGCAAAAGCAACAGAAGCAAAGATTGACTGAAATGGGTTTACAATTAAAACAAAAGTAAAACTCATGCTTTACTCTTTAAGCAAGAGCACAGTGCATCAAATCTCCTGCTCCAGTGACCACAGTCAGAAAGGTGCCCTGCTGGTAGCTCCCAGAACCCTAAGAATCATTGAACTCTTGCCCCAGCTCCTGTGCTCTCACATACTGTACAACACAAAGCACACATCTACAACATGCAGCAGGCTTTGCTCGACAGGCACTGGCCTTGTTGTAAGCCAATACTATCTCCTGGGGGCATGCTCTGCTGTCATTCTGCAGCTGCTGAACTGTCACTGAAGCAGCTCTTTCCTACAAGCCAGCTGTCTAGTAAAAAACTGCACCAGCCAAGAGACTCTCTCAGAATAAACAGGGGGAATGTCAACACAAGTAAAGTTCATAGTAGTGGTAAACCTACCTCTTGCTGTTGTTAAGCAGAAAAAGAGATGAGTTGCTTCTGATTTTGAATCTTTCCAGTTCCAGCCTGTATTTACATGGATGAATATGCCTACATGTCAGCCAAACCTCAACAAAGAAGTAACTTTTTCAAATGAGCTCACAGGCCTAGGAGTGAGGCTAAGAATGGCGCTACATTCAGCCACCCAAGAGCAAGCTGGAAACCCCCTGGATGCAAAACAAATAAGGGTCTCAAGGGCAGGTCACCCTTGACATCCCTGAGCCAAGCAAGTGATGGACAATCAATGACAATGAATTTTCCAGTTAGACGAATCCTTATGCTGTCACGCTGCTGCTTTGGTTGAACCCACCAGGATCCATCTTTTGCCCTTTGGAAGCTCTGCAGGTTGTACCAGACTAATAACACAATCCCTGTTCCCTGTCAGCATCGATTTTGAAGTTCCAGAAGCAGTACTGAATCAAGTGGGACTGAGCCAGTCTGTTGTTCCTAGGGGAGATGATACATGTTCACATTCCTCCTCCTATCAGCACCAAGCACAAGAAACCCTTGAAATCAGCGTGCTCAGTTGTGAAGCTGAAGCTGTCTGACTGTGTAACATGAAATACAAGCCACCAAATACTTGTACAGAACATTATTCTGTCCAGAACAAGCTGAAAGAATTTGTAAACAATGACACCCAAGCAGAGAGAGGTACATGAAGAGTGTTTGGGAGCCTGACCAAAAATCCCAACTACTTCTGTTTCACCTCTGCTCTACATAGCTCAATAAATTGCTGGGAAAATCCTCAGTAGTACATAAGGCAAAAGAACAGATCTACCCAGCATGAGGTACCTGTTCAGGATGGAGCACTCACTGTAGAGAAATGACCAGATAGGGAGAACAATGATTCATGTAGCAGGTATGAACTGGTCAGCCTCAGAGCCATGGCTGTAACTATTCTTTGTGATCTTAGAATCATAAACTGGTTTGGGTTGGAAGGGACCTTAAAGACCATCTAGCTCCTGCTCCTGCCACTGGCAGGGACACCTTGCACTAGACCAGGTTGCTGAAGGCCCCACCCAACCTGGCCTTGAACACTGCCAGGGACAGGGCATCCACAGTTTCTCTGGGCAACATCTGCCAGTGCCTCACCACCCTCACACTAAAGAATTTCTTCCTAATGTCTAATCTAAATCTACCTTCTTTCAGTTTAAAGCCATTCCCTATTGTCCTATCACAACATGCCCTTGTAAAACAATGAGATGTTACTCTTATGAACATTCCTATTTTTGAGGGAACATATATACAAACACCTGAAACTGAGTTCACTGCCTCAGAAGTGCCAGTAGGACAAACACCCCATTTGTGCACTGCACACAAACATACAGAAAGGAAGGAACTCCTTCATACGGCCAGATCCCCTCAGCATCAATGTCCCAGGAATCCTTCAGAAGGTTCAAGATTGTTAAAGTGTATGCAGGCCATACATCTCAGAGAATAAATGCATTAAGTAACAATCGTCTCCTTCAAGCACTTACCAACGTGGACATTCACACTGTGGATCGCTCCCAACAATAAAAGCTCTACCTACCCAGTGTCTGCTAGAGATTGCTAAACTCCACCTCCAGAAGATACCAGTAGCATTATCTCCATCAGATCCCTCAGAGGATGGAGAAATTTAAGAACCTAAGAACAGACTAGCTCTATACACCAGAGGAGATGGAATTTCATGTAGAAATCAAATCGTTTCACCCCCTTTACTATGACCTAAGGATTGCTTTGCTTCTTGTATCACTTGCAAGAAGTACACAGGTGTGTGAATGTTGCTTCTGCACATTACTGGTACCAAGAGGGTAAAACCTGAATTTTGCTAAATTTATGTGTATGGCATAACTCTTTCATAAGAATGATCTAAAAAGAAAAAAATCTAAATACTATTATAATATTATGAATGTTTCTTGTGATCCAACTTTTGGTTTAATTCTTTTCAGAACAGGCTGTCTGACAGACAGCTACTGAATGTGATTGACAGCTTGGATGCAGCCACAGTTGGAGCTGGAAAACAGTGCTAACATCCAGATCATCAGACTCCCTCTTAAGTCTGTCTCAAGGAGTGAGAAAGCACAATGATTTATCAAGAGTGGGTAAGAAAGCAGAACTACTTCTACAGGTCTCACTAACCTATTCATGTGGAGGTATGGAAAGGCTAATGATTCCAGGGCTGCATCATTTGCTCTCAGGACTATATCATTTTGTTCCCAGTGCTATAGCTAGTTCTATAAATGAATGAGAAGACAAACAGCCTGGGGATGAAGCCCTTCTGTTTTTTAAACCATCCAGCTTACTTTTTGGTGTTTGTCCCTAAGCCAAAACTAGCACCAGTAATGGCAAAGAACTACTGTGACAGAGCTCATTTGCCACCACTGTGTTGGGAAGTTTCAGAATTAACATGAGAGCACAGTGTGACAGACGCTGCCCCACCTGCTGCTGATCTTTCTGGGGTCAGTTCTTCAAAGCATTTATGGGACACAGTCAGGAACCATTCTGTTTTCACCTAAAAGGGATAATTTCTGAGAAGGCGCCAACTTCAGATCCTCTGCTAAGGAGCCAGCTGCCTTCTCCAAGGAATAATCCTGAAAACTGTGTTACTGGTCCTTTTTCACTTGAGGCTTGTCTCCAACGTACAACACTCATCCCATGTTGCACAGGCTTCTCTGAAGCTGTTTAAACAACACACAACCTTTACAAGGTAAGAGCTGTTAAAAGTTTAATGGAAGAATCGATGTAATCAGAGGAAACACTAAATACTGTAAGTGAAGACAATGCAGTGATGCAGCTGCAGAACGAGGAAAGCCTCATGCTCTACCTTAATGTCAGCTACAAGTTTATCAGGAACTAAGGACACACATGGGGCATGAACACTGGAATCAGGATGCTCTGGCAGGGGGAATTACTAAAATACAAATACTTGAATGTATCTCCTACACAGCATTCAGCTTATTACAGCACAGAAAAGCTAGGCAATATCACTACTGTTTGTACATGCACATGCTTTGCAGATGAGCTCTTAATAAGTAGACAGACCTCTACAGTTTTGTGATAAACCTATGAGTAGTACTGTCATTACAAAATGATTGCTAACAGTGTTGGAGCTATCCGTACACAAATACTTGATGTTAGTGTCAGATATTTCAAGCGCAAAACCATAACCAAAGCACTTCCTGCAATGAAAAGGAAAAATATACTTCTAAGTGACATCGTTTAAACATGGTATTTAGAAAATCTCTTCTTGAAATTATCTCTTCAGCTACTTACTGCAAAATTACTTTTTATAGCAACTATGTTCTTTCAAAACATTATATTTATGCAACATGAATTCTTTATTCTGGAATACACTTTTATACGTTTATCCTCCTTTTTTTTTTGATGGAACACATTTTGTACAATGAAAAATGGGACCACAATATGTGAGGAAAATTTAAATACTGATAGTGCTAAATGAGGGTTCTTGCTTTTCACCTACAGATTACTTCCTTGGCTTCAACACTATTCTGCTTAGCAGAGAGATGCATGTGTGCAAGACTCAGGTGAAGAGTATGACTTGGAGTTTTAGAAACCTGATCCAAATTTGCACACTGTAGTGTTATAGTTAACTGCTACTCAGACAGCCATTTTTGTGATGCTAACCCTTTCATTCATGTCTTAGTTTACTGGACATTGGGTGGTCAAAAGATATAACAGCAAAAGGAAGACCTCAGCAAAACAGTCTTTCCAAAGTATGCAATCACACACAGAGTAGAGATCAGACATCCTGAGAGAAAACAACCAAAAATCAGATTCAATCAGAACTAAATAATTCCTTTTGAACACACCACAAAAATTATTTTCCCATAAATATCAACAAAATATTGTAAAAGAAATGTTCAAACTTAACTGAAAGATATGCCCTCTACATTTTAAAAGGTTTGGGAAGCATAGTATGTTTTTCAAATACCAAGTGACAAAATAAAGGCAACCTTATCTCACCCTACCTGCTGCCATTTGCCCTTAATTGCTGGATCCCTGATCGACTGGCAATGCCTCTGGATTTGCTGGATGACACCCTGGTAATATACCATAGAAGAGTCATAATTCCCAAGGAGTGCATATTCTCTTCCTTTTTTGGCATTATCACAAATCTCTGCTAAATTCATCTTCCGTTAGAAATCTAAAAGAGAACATAATAATCAGAAAAAAATGAACTGTGCATGCCGTAGAGTAACTCAGACTGTGACACTTTAGTTTTGTTTTTCTCTTATAGCTGAATTGTGTCATTCCACCCGCCATTCCCACCCAGTCCCCCTCTTTTTCAAACATTTAGCTCTGCAGTATCTCGTTACTAGCCTAAGGTTTCAGATCATGAATCATAACTCTTTTGTAGTGATAAAAAACACAACTTCTTTGCAAGCCTTTGGCACCAGTCCTGTTAAATTAGTGCAAGAAAATTAAATGTCCTGTCCACACTGAACCAAACAAGCCAAACTTGAATTTGTAGATCACCACAATATATTAGCAGCCATCAACCCATGAATCACAAATCACACGAGGCATTAAATTGCTATTTATACTGTTGTATTACATACATGCCTAAATGTGCCAACCAGCATCAGGAAAATCTGCACTTAGCACGTTCAAGAGCCCTCACCCTAATGAGATTATGACATGGTTGAGTGATTGCTTTACTATAGACAAAGTTGAGAGCCTCATTCTGTTTAAATATTTTTTCAAAGTACTCCAGCATCCACATGCTGACTTGAGTTTTTTCATTAGATTTAACATGTCACTTTGGGATTTATGGCAGAGTTAGCAATCCAAATTTAAGATTCTTTAAAACAGTGATACCCAAAGTACAACCTTCCCCTAGTCCCCCAAAACAATTTAAGATTTACGGATTTTACTAACATTTTTATACAAGTAGTAAATCACAGCATGACTTTAAGGCAAACCTGTACTTTTTTCAGTAACCATTCAAGAAAGCACTTATAAACCACATACTGAAAAGTAAGCTATGTTACAATCACAGAACGGTTTGAGTTGGACCCCCCCTGCCATGGACAGGGTCACCTCACACTAGACCATGTCACCCAAGGCCCTGTCCAACCTCACCTAGGCTTGTATTTAAGATTAAAGAAGCAGTGCCTGCCCTTTTATCTAAATCCCGCATGACCCAAAGTCTAAGTCATTACCACACAAAAAGAGCATCAGCTCCTTTCCCTTGTCCTCTGACTCAGGATGTGTGGAGTCCCTGACATTCACCCAGATATAAACCTCTGGAAATCAAAAATATAAAATTATCATTCCTGGCAACACAATGCAGAGAGTTGCACTGACCAAGGGGGAGAAGGTGGAGGGTGGTCCACTAGCTGCACCAAGGCTTTGGCAAGACCAAAGCATTTGAGAAGACACAGGGAAGGAGTGGTATAGCCAGATGGGAAGACAGCAGCGCATGGGGCCTGGTGAAGCACATAGTTCAGGCTGCACAGCTGAAGACAACCTGTGATATGGGGGTATGTGCAGTAGGAGCAGGTGGTATCAGAGAGAAGCCAGAACAGGGAGAAACAACCTTTTACATCCTAGCGGGTTATAAAAATGTTAGTAGTTTTTTATAGAACAGACAAGACAAGATCAAGACAGCATTAAGGAGATCTATCTTATGCCTTTGTATTCCCTCATGCTTAGCAAAATTCAGACCTCTGACAAGAAGTTAAACCAATATCCATGTGACCTTCATTCTGCCTGTCCTGAACACTGCCTATTGCAACACACGCTCTACCTCCCAACAGTGCCAAAACTCATGGTCCTTACTGCTGCCTGCAGCTGCATACCAGGTCTGCTCCAGCACTTCTTCACTCCTGCTCCCTGTAACTAAGCCCTCACTTGTACCTACTGGCCACATGGCTTCCATGTGGTTGAAGATTTTGATGGCAAGAACACACTGCTGCCCGTGGCTCATATGCTACTGAGTACAGCAAGACGCATTAGGGCTTACTTGTCCTCGTGCTGTGACACAAACATTTCGGCTTGCAGATTGTCCCGACATCTACTATAAACTCCTGGGCAAGAGCAGAACTCCGGTAGAAAGGGTGATGACTATATTGTTTTCTCTTGGTGCTGAGGAAAGGCAAGATACATCACTGGAGAGCTCTAGCTTTGTGGCAAGTAAGACCATTTAATTTTAAAATGCAGAAGATGATAACTGATAGGAAAAAGTGCTGTCACTTGCATTGCACTGGAAATCGATAAAAAGATAGGAACTGAATATAGGTTACAACCCATTCAGATCTGATAAGTCAACTTATAAATGAACAAAGCACCACCTAGGGCAGAATCCATGGTCCCATCTTCAAACACATCCAGGTTAGGATCTGCTGCACAACTGGCTTGTCCACATAAGGAAAATGGTTCTCAAATCTCTGCAGGTTTTCCCCACATGTAGCAAAAAACAACAGAGTAAATAAAACATTTCTAAGGAAATGCTGCATTCAATTCCCAGAAATCCATTAAACATGTACGTACTTTAGCAATCTCTTGTATCTGTTCATTACAGCTAGTTCACACCCTGCAGGTGTGTGTTTAACTCCCCTTTGCTGTAAGAGGGCTGACACTCATAACCAGCTCCCCTTAAGCCCAGAAGAGTGTCCTGCCCACCAGAGGGGACAACCTCCTGTCTCCAGCCCAACCTGTGGGCAGAAAGTGAGGCGCAGCATCCACACAAGCACATACTCACTTCAGAAGAATGGTTAGCTCAGGAACCTGGGAAGCGGGAGGTAGAAAATTTACATGGTCTTAAAACTGCTAGGAGAAACCAAATGAGAATCTCCCATGTCCTCCAGCAACCAAGAGTCTGGGGGCTTCTGGCCTCATGCTGGTGACACTGAGGCTTAAGCAAGTGCTTGATGCCCAGTGCATCACACTGGAGAGCTTCTAAACACCAACAGGCACTGAAACTTGGAGCATAGAGGGAGGTTCATGCATGTACATGTATGAACCTACTGAACAGTTGGTGCATCCAAAGCTAGACTGACAAAAGCTTCTGGACCTTTCTCAGGCACTTCAATCTTTACTTATCACCTACCCTAGACACCAAAACAGGTAATATATCTTGAGAGGATGACTATAACATCACCCATATACCTGAGACATATTTGAAACAGCAGCTGCAGATCTCAGTCCTACATCAGTACTCTCCCTGACCCCCAGGCAGCTCTTTGAGGTCCTATTGCGAAAAGACCGGCTGTTTGAAACTAATGGCTAAAAATTGTTTAAAAAAACTACAAACCTCTTACACACACAAGTGATGGTAACATTAGTTTGGAACAGCCAAAGCAAGTCAAAACAAATATATTCAAAATTAAGGAAAGATTATTTTTAGGAAGGAATTCCTTCCTGTTTTGTTTTCTGGACAACACACTCTTCAGCGCTGGGGGTGGGGAGGAAAAGGTAGCTTGCAGTAGGTGGAGGCTTTTTCACATTATGTACTTATTTTTTTATTATCTGTTCAACATTATGTTATAGAGTTCTTACAACATTGCAAAAGTCCAAGGAACCAGAAATATAGAAGTCGTACACAGTGCTTTTGCTGTTTGTTCTTTTGTTGTTGGGAGTTTTATTTAAATATTTGTTTTTCCTATCATATCACAGCCACAGCTTTTAAGTAAATACACATCCAGGGACAACTGTTATCGGGTACATTTAGAATACCTTACACATTACTTGTGACACCAGACTTTTCATTCTATCATTGTGGGGTTCTTTCCTGCACTAGACCATAACAGCTCCACAGCACATCAAGATATCCTTGGAGATTCTTTAGTTCACGGATCATTGACAAGAAGAGACATTACAGACATTCATGTCAACATAGCTGCCACACATAGTGTCTTAAGCCCACTTGTTAAAACCCTGCAGCAGCTAGGCTAAAAGGTCACAGGGGATATTAATCTCTATTCTTTGGAGCACAAACTGAGCTGATCCCTATCTGGGGTCAGAAAAGAATTTTTCTCCCAGAACTAAAGCGACATGCAGCTGAGCAAGATCCAAAAGACAGTCTCTATTTTAACATTCAAGCATCATACACACACAAACATATCCATAGGCAGATACAGTGACTGCGTGAATGGTGGGCAAAGGAGGACACCTTGTTTAGCACACTATTCCAAACTTGTGTGCAATACCAGAAGGAATGCAGGACAACTGCCCCCTTCAGCCCATCTCCCCCTTAACTTCATACCACAGTGCTACCAGAGGCAATAAATGCTCACCCCTGTAGCTGGGGTCTGTAGCAGGGGCTTTGCTATTGCTTGACATTGAACATTCAGCTCTGCAAGTGCCAAAACAAAAGGCATCTCTACTGTCTTTACATGTCTCCTTTATGCCTATGTGTTTTGACACAGTCAGTTACACAACTGTATCCCATTTTCTCCACAGGCACCCAACTCATGGACTGGATAGATAATGCTCATTAAATAAGCAGTTACTCATTTTCGCTTTACTCTCACTGCTCCAATAGCCTTTTTCAGAATCAGTCTTTTCTCGAAATTAGTTGTTAACCCCTCATTGTAAGGCTATAACATACCTGTTTTTTCTGGATGTGTGCCTTTCTCTGACCAAAATTTTACCCAGGCAGACCAAAGAGATTGCTGGGCATATGGTCTCAGCTGGGCTCCACAGCTCTCAGAGACTGCTGGGCATATGGTCTCACGTCATAGCAGCTGTGCAGCATTGCTGACTGGACAGCTGAACATCTGGAAAGGCCTGGAAATACACAGATGAAGACTGGTTACTAATTCTGTTTCTCATTTTCTGTACATCAGCCATGCAGCACGATGTCAGGCATCCTGAAAGGCAGTGTAAGAGACCCAACTAACCTCACAAGACAGAGCCACACTGTTAGGCACCATCTTCTGAAATCCAGTGCTGAGTTACCTCCGTTTAAGGCCATGTTGGTTTTGTAAGCCAGCTACGACCAGTTTCAAACAGCTTCCTCTCCCTCAATTATGTTTTCACTTAAAATAGCACATCAATCCTATTTCCCATTGTCTCTTCAAAGCTAAAACTTGCTAAAATGGAGACATATAACAGTATGACAATACCTTAACTGGAACTGCAAACACCAACTGGAACATTATCAGACGAAGTAAAAAAAACATTTTTTCCCTGCATGACTTGTGATTCCTACTAGGAGCCTACAGAAGTCTATTTCTGACTATTTCTTTTTCATGCTTGATGTATTTTGTTTGATTTTTAAGAATAAGTTATTCAAAACCACAATTATTAAAAAAAAAAGAAAAGAAAAAAAAAACTTGTCTGCTTCATAAGAAAGATTATCCCTTCTATTTTGGATCTGGGTGCAGAACAACTGGTCTTCATTCCTGATAATTAACTGTCCCTGCTCAGAAGCAATCGCTGATGCTGCAGACAATTATCAGGCATTACGTTCGCATGACAAAAACAACATTTTAACTGATTACTGTCAGATAAAATACAAACAAACAAACTGCCTCCCAAGTTCCACAGCTGAATCTATCTTTCCTGGTTAACTTGGCTTTGTTTTAACTTGCAGCTGTGGTCCCATGGACTGGTGTGGAAGCTAACAATCATTACCTCACAGGATCATAACTCCTGTTAAATTTATATATATATATAAATAACGTGGCTCAGTTATAGCAGATTTGGATTTAAACTACATTTGAATGGCTTCTTGAATCAAAGACAAGAAGTGTGCTATGCCAGTGCTCTTTTCTTTTCCTTATGCTGTGTGCATCAGAATGGCTACAGCCACAGGAGCAGCACTGGGGTTTGCAGCAAGTTTGTCATTGGAGTGTTCAATCCCTGTTCAACATGTCACTTCAAAGCAGCACACACCCCAGATAAAACATATATACACACCCTGGTCCAGGAAACCCAGCACCGAGGGATCTTTCAATTCAGTTAACCGCTCACTTTTAACTGATTTTTGGCTTCTTTGCACTGAAACTCTGTTTTGAAATAGCAGCCGTGGAGTTAATGGGGAAATGTGTGTGGAAGTGGGAAGGAGAATAAGCATGCACACAGGCCTCAAACTATTTTTGTGTGGAATCTTCTGAGAGCTAACATGAAGCAGAGAGTTGAATGTTATTTTAAAGGCAAGTGAAAAGAATCTTCAAATGAAGTACAGACATTCACCGCAAGTTACAAATAAACACAAATACATGAGAAACTACTAAACAGTTGGTCAGTGTTTTAATTAGAGATAATGCACTATTGCATCAAACAGAAAGCACCCTGGAGAATGAAACCGCCATTTGCATAGCCTTTGAACTACAATTTTCTGAAGAACTAGAAAGGAGAATCAGAGATGGTTGTGCTATTCCTAAAACTGACTGCAAAATGCATCCTTCTCCAGAGAACCTTGTGTACCAACTTCAGGCATATCCATATGGTCCCATCACCCATTATTCAGGGTAACGAGGTGTCCATCAGCTAGGCTGGGTAACAGAAACTAAAACAGCTAACACTAACACTGTGGAGCATTCTAGGGAGTGCAACTGCATGCACACAATGGTTCAGGCAGCAAGAGGCTTGCTATCTCCTTCTCCATCTTACCCCTGCTGGACCCAGGCTGGCTCCACACATCTCTCTTCTCTCCAGCACATTCTCAGGACTCCTGGCATTAGTACCACCCCAAACGCAAGCCAGCATTTAGGTGGCACCAGCCCTGAAGTGACCAACCCCTCCTCATCTGACAGGATGCAGGACTCTGACAGCTGAAGGATTCTGCAGGACCCATACAAAGCTCAACAAAGTGGAACTCGGCCCAAATCAGTAATCCCTCTGGCCACTTTGTGGAGCCACTTGCTTCTCTGCACATCATGTGTGTTAATCACTTCTAGTAGAGCAAACATGCCACCAAAGACTCACAAGATGGGTCTGTGCAGAACCAGCTTGGGTTCAAAGTGTTTATTAGGTCGGGCTCTGTGCCAAGAAAGGCAGTTAAACTGCTTCTGCACCTGGCCCTGGATACAGCATATCCATGCTCCCATAGCACTGCAGCTCATGAGCCCTGCCAGACCATAGGCAGCTCCACAAAGATTCAGTTCTGGTGCTGCTACATTCCTAGAGCAGCCAATCTGCAACCAGATAAACTTTCCATGAATAATTGCAGGTTTAATGGACTCACACATGTTTATAACCCTGACTCATAAGGTCAGAATTTAGGCCTGAATACTTTTCCATCTTCTGAATTCCCTTCTGAATTCCAAGAACTGGCACTTTAGGGCTATGAATGTGTATTTTTTAATTAGGATTTTGCTTTTTAAAATTGTTCTAAGCATATATTATTTAAAATATCTGCTTACATGCATATTGCTGTTAGTGCTACAGACATCAAGTCTTCACATTTCTCAGCTCATCCCCAGAAGAATCAAGTGCTACAGACATCAAGTCTTCACATTTCTCAGCTCATCCCCAGAAGAATCAGTGTTGGTTTTTGGTTGGTTTTGTTTTGTTGGGTTCTTTTTGCAATTATTTACACAGAAAATCAGAAAAAGACTACTATTGTTTCCTTGGCTTCCATTTACTTTTCTGCCTTGAGACTGTGATTAGCTCAGGAGAGGATTCACTCCTGTTACCTGCTCAAAACCCCTTGTCTCCAAGACCAAAGCACCCTGGAAGCATGCTGCAGCAGAGACATTCACTTCCACAGTCTGGCAAGGACCAGAAGCTACAAGAAGCCTAAGCCTGCCCTAGTACGTATCTGACATGGGGTTAGAAACATTCAGTTGCAATAAAAATCAACATCCACTGCAAAGAAATCCATCTCTGTGACATTTGAAACTGTATTAGGAATAGCCATTAAGTATTCATATGCAAGGGAGTACTAATGCACTGATGCTTTTAAGATACAGATTTTCAGGAATGAAAAGTAACTCCCTTTAATAAACTAGTCATAAACGTGTATTTTATACATGGTATGGAAAAGAAACTGTGATTTTATTCCCCCTCATGCCTGTTGGAGAATACAAGATAAAGGATAACACTAGAACTGTCATCAGGGTAAATGGACAGGGAAGAGAGACAAACACAAACACTGTCATCATGGCAGAAATGTGGGCACAACAGAAATGAAGCAGAATTATTTTAAGTAACACTATGTCACATCACGTAAAGATGACCTAGTACAGCAACCTCAACAGAGCCGAAGCGTGGCTGGACAACTACTGGTTGAGGAAACTTTCCAGGGCCACTAGCTCTTGGCTCTCTTTGGCGGTTGCTTCCTCTCTATCCACTCCCGCAGCCCCTAGCCTACCCTGCCCTCTGCACAGCACCCCCCCTCGCATCTGTTCTGCCACTCCTCGTCCAGCAGATCTCTCCCCTTTCATCCATTCACCCATGTTACTACGTGCCCCTCGTACTCTTCCCTCAACCCTCAGCAGTCCCCACTTGCTGACACAAACCACCCAACGGACCCTCCCCTCAGCGCACCTCCCGACTGCGCGCACCTTCCTCCCATCCACCCCTGCATTCCCTCATCCTCCTAAAACCTGATGCTATAGCATCACACCTCTCCCTCTGCAGCCGTCCATCCCCGGCACACCTCTCCCTCTGCAGCCGTCCATCCCCGGCACACCTCTCCCTCTGCAGCCGTCCATCCCCGGCACACCCCTCCCCCCGGCCCGAGTCGCCGAGCCCGGCCTGCCGCACCCCGCTCCCTGGGCGGCACAGCCCGTCCTCTCCGGCCGTCCCCCCGCATCCCGCTCCCCCAGGCTCCGTGCACCCTTTCCACACTGCCCTTTCCGGCAGCGCTGAGGGAGCACCCTTGACCCCCGGGATCATCATCCCCTCAGCAGCGGCTCCTAAGAGACGAGCCACCTCAGCGCCCAGCGCCCCCGCTCAGACCGAGCCCCCTCCTCACCACAGCCTCCTCCGCGGGGGCACACCGCAGCGCCCATCTCCCCACCCCGCCGGCCCAGCACGCTGGGGTTTGTAGTTCCCACCCGCCATCTCGCCCCTCAGCCCCCAGCTCCGGCAGAAGGGCGCGGACTACACTTCCCATCAGGCTCCGCGGCAGGGGGCCGCTGCCCTCTGCCACCCCCCCTCCCCCCATTCTTCCCGCCGCCACCTCCCTCCGCGCGGCTGGATGTGAGGGTGGCTGTTGGGCCGGGGTCCGGGCTGCGCCCGCCTCGGGTAGTGCCGGGAGGGGCCGCTCTGTAGCCGGGCCCTGCCGTTACCTGGGAGAGCCGGGGTGCGTGTCCGCGGACGGGAGCGGCGCGGGGAGGGGGCGCAACACTTCTGCTCTGTCAGACCGCGGAGGGGGGAAAGAGGCACCGGGGAGAAAGGGGACGAGGACGGGCGGGGAAGGCGGCGGCGACGGGTGGTTGCCATGGCGGCGGCGGGGCGCGGGGAGGGGACGGCATCCCGCTACCGCTACCCCGCCCCTGCTGCAGGCCGCCGGGCCCGCAGGCGGTGTTGGGCCCGCTCCGGCCGCTGCCGCGTCCCCCGCCGTGCTCTGGCGGGGGGAAGGGTGGTGCTTTCCCGGAGAGCCAGAAACAAAGGAGCATGTCGCCGCCCCCCGGTAGGGCAGAGTTTTGGGCGCCCTTGGATGATCCGTGTGTGAACCGCCCCGGCTGAGGCCCGCAGAGAGCCTCCATCCCTGCCTGCTGCGGCAGCAGGGCAGCTGAAGCGGCGCTTCGGGAGGGAGGAGGGTGTCGGTGCCAGAGCAGAACGGCACCGGGTCTGGGCGCTGGGTGTGCATGTGATCCGGTGCTCTGTGTACTCGGCTTCGTCCGTAGCCAGGTTGCAGGGGATGAACACGCTTCCTCAGCGCTACAAACCTCATCTGTTCCCACTTCGGCTGAGGGAGTGGCTAGGAAAGGCGAAATGTGCATTTGTCCTGCAAGGGTACGCAGAAGGGAACCATGCACCATCTTTGCTAACGGGTTTCATTGCTTTTATAGAAAGGTAAAGGAACAGGTTTGGGGATGTGCCAGTTCCTTGGAGCAGTGATAGCTGGTGATCACAGGCAGCCAGCCTCACAGGGCGGCACCACCCCCTCTGGGTCCTCTGCGGAGAGTGAATGTAGCGTTTCTGAGGCGTGCATCTCACAGTTAATAGGAACAGCCTGGTCTCCTGCGAGCAAAGCTGTGTGGTTATAAACCTTTCTGAGAATGTCGTTTCACAGCTAATGCAAGCCAGCCTCTGTATTGCCACCAAAAGGGGCAGTCCTGCCTTTCTCTCTGCTCACGGCTGTGCTTTCGGGTTGCTATTTACACTGCAATAACTCTTACATTGCCGTATGGCGGGGCAAGCCTGGGATCTGATCCGGTGGAAAGCCAGTCATGCCTCTCCAGAAAATTACCAGAGTTCAGCTGGATCACGTTCCTGAACTAGCTGACCCCTGCAGAGCTGCTGCAGGCACAAAGGCAGAGGAGGCGCAGAGGCAGGAGCAGCCTATTGAGATCATCCGAGCTGTGTCTGTGCGTGCAGCAGCTCCACTGCAGTGAGTCCTTGCTGGTGGAACTGCCTTGTGACAGCTCTCAGTGTCCCGCAGATAATGACCTTGTGATCGCTGCCGATAATGACACGTGATTTCTCCAGAAAATACCAATTTTAGTTACGTTAAGGTAACAGCATGAGGCTGTGTCTCAGTAAGGTTCTCGGAAATGTTAACTGACTCAAGTGAGAGCAAGGATTGAAACTAAAAGCTCAGTATGCCTCTTAAACAATACAGCATGTGTGAATGTGTCACTTGTGTATCTACAGATCTTGCTTCCCTCAAAATCATGTGGAGATTCTTATGCCTTTGTGAGTATTTTAGAACTAGAGCCAAAATCTTGAATTCATAACAGCTGTGACTCTGGCTTCCCTGTTTCCAGATTTCTTCGAACTTGCCTGCCCATGACATCAATTCCTGCTGGTTTCTCACATACCCAAAAGCATAGACACAGTGCAGACCTTACAGAGCTCAATGCTTCTTGGGGAGAGCACATGATAAGCAGCCTGTTCCCAGCACTGCCATAATATCCCTTCCCACAAGACTATATACCTCTTTTCACATTAGGCTACACATTAACTGCTTTGTCTGAGGATTGTATCTCCCATAGGAAACTGTGACACAGAGAAGGTTTGTCTGGTTGGTTGGTTGGTGATTATTTTTCCCCATCGCTTTTCTTAATAATGCTCGATTCAAGCAGGGCTGCTTCCTGGTGGCAGAGGGTACCCATACTACCACTGACCTCCCTTGAAAAGTAGTTGCTCAACGCCAGAGCAATACTAGTGTCACCCTGGTTGGACCTCTTAGGGGTAAATTCAGTTAGCATTGGTCTACAGTTTGCCAAGGTCTGTGAAGTGACTGGATGTGCAGGAAGAGAACCACATTTCCAGGTTCCTAGCCCTGATGCTAGGATCAGGATAATTCAAATTGGAGGAGATTTCCAAAGGTCTAGTCCAGACAGGCAGTCAGAAGTTCATAAACTTTTAATATGGCAAAAGAATGGTAGCTGTGTGACATTTCGTAGCCTTTGCTGTTGCCACAAACTCTCGCAAATCTGACTAGAGTTGTGCAAAAAATACTGCTTCCCTCACCATCTTTTCTGCCTCCTTACTGAAGCTTTCTGCCTCCACAACAGTCCCTGGATTGGAAGACACTAATGTTTCTAATCCATTTTAATACATTAAAGTCATCTTTATCAGCAGTCTAAGCTAATTTGTATTGAAGCAGCTGGGACTAGTGCATGTGGTTTGTTCACCAGCTCTACTGTGAGGCAGTAGTCTCAGGCAAAGAGAAGGTAAGAAATTACTGGGAGGGGGTGTGACAACTTAAGCCACTGAAGCTTGTTCTACTATGAGTATATCCTCACAACTTACGTCTTTTTATTTTTTGATAGAGGCTATAAACCTAGCAGTTCTGGCTAAGGATGCTGGTGGGTGTCAGTGGCTGTGGTTAGGCGGGCTCCAGCTGCGTTGGTGGAGGAGAGCATTACTCACAGCCAAACTCCAGAGACTTATGCCCCTTTCCAGCAGTCTGCAAATCTGCCAGCAGAGCTGATTGTGTGCCCTCTCTCTGATTTATTCTAGTCAGTTCAATCAGAAGCTGATATAAATTAATGTAACTCTTCTGCCATGAACATTTGATTTCGTTCAAAAGTGTCTCTTCATCTAAAGTAATAGCAGACACTGTCAGATAAGTTTAAAGCTATCCACTCTTAGGGTCTCTGTCAGATTAATAAAACTGGTTCTGAATTGATTTGGTTATCATTACATAAATTCTATAGACTGTGTCTAACTCAGATGGCTGGCACAGGCTTTTAGCAGAGCTTCATTTGTAACCTCCTCCCACACACAAAGTTCTGCAGGAGAAGGTTGAAAACGTACGAGATGTCTGTGAGTTATGAACTGCCCTTTTCTTTTGTCTTCCCTTCCCCTTGCAATTTTATTTATCTAGACTACTGGAATTATCATGCTTTCATAATAATCTTTAATGTTCACACGCAAACCTAACTCTACCAAAGGTCTTGTAGGCTAGGTTCAGAAATGTAACAATGGAAGGTGAAAAACAATAGGGAAGCAATAGGGAAAAGAAGTTGTGTGTTACATATTCATGGGCATTAACCTTCAAAGGGAAGTTACGCATAACTCAGTAAAGGCATCAGGAAACACACACTGTTAATTTTTGTACACATACAGGAGTTGTTTTTCTCCATAGGTATTTTTATTGTATGATATATATCAATATGACACATCCACCAACTTCTCTCCTAGGAAAGAATCTCAGAGTCTGAACCTTGAGAAACTGTGATGGAATGGCAACACAGGAGGATTTAGTCAACATCTTTCATGCAAGGTACATTTCAAATTGCTGTGAATTGTTCAAGGGAAAGTGACTGATACTCAGATGAGAGTTCAGTTAAGTCAGAAAGTGAGAGTAGGAATGGACACAGGTGCTTATATTTATCTGGTCAAATGTCGACATCTGTCTTGTAGACCCTTGCCTTTGAGTTAACTTTTGTCTATGTTTTTTCATGGTAGAGAGAGACAGGTACTTTAGGGATGCAGTTCCCACTTTGACCAAGGTTGACTGTGCCATGAATGTGTTTTAATTTTTTCCAAGCTTATAGCAGATCTAGCTGATAAGCATAAATGTAAGGGTTGGCACTGCAGATGCCTAAAGGTAGGTGAGAGGAGTCCCAGCTGATGTGTTTGTTGCATTGCTAGAGCCAGAGAGAAAACTGTCATGAAAGTTATGACTAGGTTGATTAAAATAATGATGAACAAGCCAGTGCTGGATTAATTTAAAATACAGCTAGAAGAGAAGATAGATCTTTGAGTAAACCCATGGTAGGTTGAAAAAAACAGCAGTTCTGCTGCTTTGAGTCTGTGGACACAGATTAGAAGAATTAATGGCAACTATGATACTGTGTTTCTTCTCTGTTTGTACTTAACATGCAGAAGCATGTTGCATACCTTGGAGCATTACTGTTTGGAGAGGGAATAAGAAAGTAGCTTATAGTGGTGAAAACAGAGAGGAAGACTGGGACAGAAAGCTTGGGGAAAGTAGTCAGGCCTAGGGAGCTGTGTGTCAGCAAGTGGTAAGTGAAAATGGAACGGGGAAAGAAAAGAACAACTGTTACATCTCGATAACTGTTTAAACCCCCATCACTGAGTATGTAAGAAGTTCTGAGTAGGTAAAAGCAGTGTATGTAAATGTCTGTCCCACTGTAAATGACAAGATGTGATTATAGATTAAAGTTAAGCCAAAGTTCCTAATTGAAAAATTAAAAAAAAAGTTTTAAGGAGAACAAGGAGTTTAAATACATGCTGATGATCATTGTGAAGAATCTCTTTTCCCTTTCTGGTCCCCTAATGTGATTACTATAGGGAGCATATAGTGGTTTCCATGTGAACAACTTAATCTGGTTTATATTTTGAGAGTAAAATTGGGAATCTTTTTTTAACTTCAAAATTTGGACTGTATTTGGACAATGTGCATTTTGTTAATGTTGTTCATTTATCTAAAAAATGAGAAACATGATTGTGTCAGTGGAGGATCAGTGGCACAAAGAACAGTATCTTATAAAAGCACAGACATTGGTATCACAGCTTTGGTTAAACATATTTTAAATTATTATAACATCCCATTCACATTCTTGGGGGAATATTCACTGCCTACGTTTAAACATGTAGCTTAAATGCCTAAATTAGGAGGCTTGTCTCCCTAGATGCCTTGCATAGTTGAAGGAGTGAGAGAGGCTTCTCCAGAGAGCAATTCAGACTGTTAGTTAGGCTTCTGCTCTGAATTATCATCTGGAGGAGCCTCTTCAACTTTGAATGCTGTTCTGTGCTATTCTTTGCATCTTTTCCTTGGCAACAAAACTGACTTAATTGATCTCCACCCCTCAACACTTGGTCTTGCCCTCTGCCTTTACATGCCTGTTGCTTGTGCCAGTACAGCTGTTGATGTGGTGGCACTGTCAATTAGGCTGGTGAAATCATCTAGGTTAAAAAGAACCCTGCAAAAGAAGGTGTAACTTTTAACCTAGGTCATGTCTCTATCTTGTTTATCACATGACCTTGTAAACAGTTAAACCTGCATATCTGAGGAAGTGATCAGCTTTAGCAAGAGACAGAAATAAGCTGTTGAACTTGGGGACCTGTTTGCAAAGTGTGCCACCAAGAAAAGCATGTATTTAACTTTGCGATATAAGTTAAGGAGGCTGAGTCTCATATCTAAGAGTTGTTCTGTTTAAGTATGTGATTTTTATACCACTAAGTTTCACAATATGGAAGT